CCCTGTAAACCTGACTTAAACGATTTACCGCATCTATATTAGAATTCAGGATAGAATTTTACTTGTAATATCGTGTAATACGGAAGATATTTGGTATTTTTTATCAGAATACACACATATATAATAAATTATAAGGCATATAAAATTATAAGTGAATTTTAACTAATAATCTAATCTAATTAAAGTGAATTCTATATCTTCTAAAGAGAATTATAAAAAACGTATGATAAACTTTAACAAATTTATTTCGTTTAATAATAAAATAGAACTAGAGCATATCACAGATGTGTGCTCAAAGTCTACAAGAAGTTTTAGCAAGAAATTATAAGTTATGTAAAAAATATTAAGAATGATTTCTCCTATCTTGTTATGTCATATCACAACAAGAAAAATGAAAATTATTATTTAATGTTTTCTTTCGCTTCACGCATGTCTATACATGGCAAGTGCGGAGTTAATTCGATTCTGCGATGAGAATAACGATGAAAGTGAAACAGCCGATAGACAGTTATTTGAATTTCCATTGCTGTTTCTAATTTTCAACGCAACGCGCGTAACGTCCGTCTATTTTTCGCACTTTCCGTCAACTCGGCGAGCCGGTTGACGCGGTCGTCGCTTAAATGTCATGCCATACATTAAACTAAACACGCGTGTTATTTATGCACGGGATGCCTGCGTACAGTACCTGCGACTTAAGGCCGAATCGAATCACTTTCTCTTTTCTCTCGACGAGGCCAATTTTGCGTACGCGAGCAACCGGCACCGCCGGTGCTCGTAACTCGTAACGCGGAGGGCAAACCGGAATAATGCCGCGCGATCTGGTTTCGCGTAACGCGTTACACCGCTCGGCGTTGCCGTTCATTGATTCCAATATCTCGATATCGTACGAAACTTTTTGTTTTTATTTCAATAATGATCGTTCTTATTAGCGTCGTATCGGTATAGCTCAGGTAGCTGCATGAAAACGCTCGTGCTCCGACGGAATTATCGGTGAAAACTCGGAAAGAGATTTAACGACCGCTATCGGTGCCCGGTATACCTCGTTATTTTTCTTTGGAGAAATCGAGAAACGAGACACGAGCGGATGATTAGTATGCGATTTCAAGAGCACGACTCTTATAGATAGTAGTTCATTATCGCGTCTCCTCCGAGAAAATGACGTCGAAAACCTCAATACGGAAGTACGAGCAATTATCGCTCATCATAATATTCCTTTTTCGGCGAATATCACGATGGTTCTCGGAACAGCGCGGTATGTCTATAATTAAATCAGGAATTAGCAGTTTTTTATTTGAGCGCCAGATTATATTTTACTAAACATTTTATATTTGATTAAATATTTTAAGCTTTGCGTGCGAAAAGGCAAAATATTGAAAATATTACATAGTAGATATATAACAAGAGAAAAAAACGATCTTTCACAAATTATTTATTGGCGAACTCTAAATATAATAATAATAATTACGCGAGCCGTACAAAAACAGGTAGGTCCGCCGGCCACGATTTAGATACTTTAAAGTCTTTAAACCACAGAATTCTAGACGATGAAAATGTGCGCCAACGTCTACCCTTAATTATCCATTACTCCACGGCAGTTCTGGAGCACGGCCGGAAACTTGCAATCGAGAAATGAAATTGTATAATTTAAGGAATCCTCCTTTCCAGTTCTTGGCGTGCGTCGCCGCGCTCTGCACGGCACAGATCCAGGATGGACCGAGGGGGGCACCGATTCCGATACGAGCGACTCGCTATCAGAGATTACCACCCCGACCGGGCGGTACCGGACCGGCGGCGGCATTCCCCAATCAACGATTTCGTCGACCGATCTCCTTCAAGTAATGCCCCGATCATTAATCATACAGAGATGATTAATTACGTAGAGTGCGAGAGAATTTAATAGTTAAGATTTTCAGGTTTGCTTTAATGAATTAATTTTGACAAGATTCTTTTCTTACATTTGTCTCTTCTTAAGGAACACGTCGATATTCGTGACATATAAGTCGACCGTTCTCCTTAAAATAATATCTCGATCAATCATACACTTAATACTTAATTGATCCGAACGTGGGATAGTTGATTGTGTAGAACTCGGGAGAATTTAATAAGAAAATAAAGTTTTCAGGCATGATTTAATAAGTTAATTTTGACAAAGTTCTTTTCCTTTGTTTTTCGAAAATGTGGATATAATCCATGACGTATATGAGCTCGCAAAATTTCTGAAGATCTTTTGCCTTTTTTCGACGATATATCCGATTAGAATATGACCTTGTTGGAAAATTTAACGACGAATATAAATAAATCGCGTACTAAAAGTTAATCGCGTAATCTGACTACTCGAGCAAACTATCCGAGCTATTGGAAAGGCAGGAAAACCAGTTCCGGGCGACGCGCGTATCTGTTCGAGAGGTACAGAATGAACCTACATATGCCGTTGTTAATTAGTCTAACGGATCCAAGTTTCGTGCAACGTTACTCGTGCTCACATTACAAGTAGGAAGTGCGAAATTACCGTATTTAAGAATAGCCGGATTACGCAATACTGACGTACAAATCTACCGCTTCTGATCAGGCTTGCAAATTAAAACGAGAAAGTTCGAATACCGTTCCACGTGAGCGGGCTCAAGCAAATATGTAAATGCATGTGTAACGTTGTAACTGGTAAGGAATAAAATATTCTTGGCATTTTCATGTGTTTCACCTTCTGCATTTTCTGCAGCGAAAAAGTAAACTACCACGTCATTAAAAAGTGTGTCTGATATGATCTGACAGCTACGTAGCTAGGTACTTGAAAATGATGAAGTACTTCCGAGAACTAGACGTAAACGTTTCTCTGTAGTGCATAGCCACATGTTATTATTCGTTAATTGAAGAAACCGCTAACGTCGCTAAAATTGCAGACCCCGGGGAGGCCTCGGAGACGACGCGCCCGGGACGTTCCGTCCCCTTCGGCCGAATTTGCCGGTATCCGCGCCTTCGTTCGCGCATCACGTGAAGCCGGTGAACGAGGAACCCGAGGATGAGGAAAACCTGTCGCGCGATTCCACCCGAGAGGACGAGGACTCGCGCGACCAGAGCCAGGAGGCCAGGAGCCAGGACAGCGAGGAGGATTTGAGTGAGGAGGTGCCGCGTGCGGTGCCGAATCCACCGCGGGTAATTCCGGTGGCTTCAGGACCGCAGGTATACCGTCCACTCCATACGGTGACGCCGGCGAGCGTCAGAGTGAGTCCCGCGACACCTCCGCCGCCACCGCCCATTCAATATCGCCCGACACCCCCGCCGCCGCCTCCTCCTATTCAGTATCGCCCAACGCAGAAGCCCACGAAAGCCCCGAGGAAGCAGATCATCGACGATATCACGTTCCAGCAACCGATCAAGCCACCCAAGCCGGTGAAACCATCCCAGGCTTACGAAATCCGCGGCAAGAAGCCGGTAGCGCAGGTAGGCCCACTATCGAATATATCCCGTAAGATCGCAAATAAATTTCTATTTTCTTGATTAGCTTCAACTAATTGTAAGATAAGCTCTTTTACCCTGAAATTAATTAAATAATTTTATATTGATAGGAATAAGTACGTAATATGAATCGCGAATTACGCGAACGAGGCTGGTACAATTCGAAACTACGAAAAGATTGATAGAGTTTTGAAATCGAAAGGTGAAAGCCGGAATCGTCTGGCCGTCGTGCTCCTTTTTATCCCAAGATAACGTCGCATAACTCATAAACGCGGTCAGAGGAAACCTGTTCGCGCCCGTTACGCAACACTCCAGTCGAATTTGTGAAGTGACACGCCCGATGTTTTTCGCGTGCTCATTATAAACGAGTCTTAAGACCACCTCGGAAGATCAATCAGAATACCGAACAGAATTCTATTATTCTTATGTTATACGCTGTGTACAAAAAATGAAGAATCAGAATGCAACACGTCATATAAAAATTATAGAATTCTATTCTGGAATCTGACGCAAATTATAGATCTTCTAAAGTAGTTTTAACATACCGAGTTCGTAATATGCCATAGATATCGGTATAGGAAAATCTACATCAAAATTCTTTCTTGAAAAAAATCTTCCAACTGACGACATAACAAACAATATTCTGTAGATTATCAGGCGATACCGGCACGACAATGCGGATGGTTCTATCACATGGGGCTTCGAAAACGATGACGGATCGTACAAGGAAGAGACAATCGGGCAGGATTGCATAACGAGCGGTAAATACGGATACATCGATCCGGACGGTCTCCGACGCGAGTACACGTACGAGACCGGGATCAAGTGCGACGAGCAGCAACGAGAGGACGAGGAAGACGGCTTTGTGGATTACCAGGAGAATAAGCTGGTGCTCCCAGACGGGAAGACCATAGATCTCTCGTCGATGGGCAAGAAGCAGGCGCGCCGGCCGCAGTTCCAATACAGAAATTAAGGAAATCGAGACTCGCATTTCGTACATTCGCCATCGCTCTTGTCGCGTTTAATGCGTAATTGTAACTCATAAAATCATACGTTTCTTAGACTAAACTAGAGTTAAATAAATAAATTAAGATATCGAGAGATTAATGATAGAAATAAGGCGTAATTTTATGTAAGATTATTTAGTGTAAATTAGGCTTAATAAATAAAATAATAAACCAAGATGTTAATAATATCATCAGCTTAAAATGATCCGTATCTCCAAAAGCGCATTGAGCTTGAGACGATTCTCCATAATATAGCTCGCCACGCTATATAAGAAACTCGCTTAATCTAAATGAATATTCGTCAATATTCGTTGTACAATATTCGTCAAGATGATAGAAGTAAACGGAATTACATAAGTGAAGCAACCGAAAACTTTCGCGCGAGATAACGGTACAGTTATCCTTAGCGGAAATTAAAAATTCATTTACAAAGATAACTCGTGATCTTATTCGTGAAATGTCCGCAATATTTTACAGACATCTTGACATAATGCATCCGTCCCACATTGAAAAGGGATCATTAGCAAACCGAATTCCACGTCCAGGAAACAACAATCAATCATTTATTTCGTTGAATACATTTACCGACGTTGAGACTTTATTTCGCCGATCATTATTATGCATACTAATATCCACGTCAGATCTCTCGTCAGATTTTTAACTAGACATTGATATAAGTGTATACCGTGATGTGTACATATCGATGTTGTACCTGTATAGGTTCGAGATTCTGAATAAAGGTAACAAACTAATAAATATATACAGTTTACGCGAATCGCAACAGAGTGTCTACTACTCTTCGATATATCGTAACAAGTTATTCTCGTTTGTGACATAGAGAAAATCTCGTAAGCGTCATTCTGCGAGATTACGCATGCCGAGTAACGCGATCCGATATGACAAATGCGGCAGATATGTTCGTCGCGAGCCAAGTAACGCGTCTATTATGTGTGTGTGTGTATATATATGTAATCACGCTACATTATCTTCTTGTGTCTCCCTGTACAAATCGCGCAGTCATAGCTGCACTCTTGATCCCTCCCTCTGTGTTAGGAGCTTGCAAAGAGCGATATCGAACAATCTAAGAAATCTAAACGACGGTCTATAGAAGCTACATACGACAATAACGAGGAAAAATTCTCTCAGCATCTTAATTTTGCATGCTTTGTTCTTGCTTGCAAACGGCCGAACGCATTGGATGGTCATTTTATATAGAAATACCGCTCTCTAAAGTTCAAACACCTAGTATACTTTCAACTGTTTCTCCAAAATTTCAATTTTTTAAATTTTTGAATAGAGATCCACGAAACTGGAAATGTCTCGTTAGTAGAAATGTAGAAAACATCACTGAAGATGAAATTGATCGGCCCGGTTGCGAACAAGAACCTAGAAGATTAAAATAGAACTAGCACTCGCGCGGCGCGCGCAACGGCACTCGATCTCGCGCTAAAATGCACCCGAGCATCGTCGTTTACCACCACCACCACCACGATGCTTAAGCGTCGCCTCGGTTCCAACAATAATTTAAGATACGGATTCAACAACGTTTACAGACTTGTTATGCGTATATAGATATATATATGTACACATACATCATCGCATAAATAATAGTTGATCGAAAGTAAAGACGCGGCAAATATTATTACAAAATATTAACAATCGTTGTTCGACGGCGAATAACACGCGCACGCGGCCGCGTCGCCCTCTTCTTCTCATTAAAATGTAAGTTAATACTACGGCGTGGTGTAAGATTATTGCCATGTTACAGAGTACAAAAAAAAAGAGACGAAAAGAAAGTCGAGTGTACGTGCGCGGGCGTGGATAAACGAGCGTACATACGCACGAGCACGCGCCTCGCACGCGCATCGTGCGTGTCGCATTGACGTTTCACATGAGAGAAACGTACGAGAGAAACGCGCCGGAATTACAAAAAGAGCTGGCCCCGCACAAAGGTAACGATATGTGTCGATCGATCGATCGGTCCGAATCGATCGACCGGTGTGGTCCATTCCGCTGTGGGCCCTCTTCTCTCCTGCATATCTAATACGCCGGGCTAGTGACGGCGGACACTTGTTTCGGCGTGTGTTGGCCCTGCGCCAACGCTCCGCTCTTCGCCGCTTTAAACTTCAGCCAAGCGTCGTAGCCGTACACCACCATTGCGCAAAACCCGAAGAACTGCGGATAGATCTCAGTATTAAACATCACAGAGAGCATGATCCAATTGCCTACTACTTTGATAAAAAAAGTTCTAAACAGCAAAAAAGGTTTTTAAAAACAAACTATAAGATTTACACTTTTTAAAATATTATTTTGCGGCGATTTATGTCTTTTTTTTAATTTCTATAAGAAAATTTAAATGTCTGCCAAATGTTTTTCGACATTTACGTTGACCGAGACAGAACATAACAATAATATCCTAAAGATACATAAAATAATTCCTACCGCAGCAACACCGAAAGCCTCCGTGTAACGTGCGTAGTCGGCTGCGAGGGAAGCGGCCAGCAAGTAGAAGACGGTCCATATCGTGCAGAATATAAATTCCTGAAATTACATGCATTAAGTTACAGCATACAGATGGATAGCGTTCTCAATGGTGATAAAACTGAGTTCGGGCGCAGTCAAGTTCGTAAAACGCGCAATCTGTCGAGACGTTACTACACGACATTATGAGATGCCTACGTAATACCATACGTAACCCCGACATTCTTAAAAGGTCAACCTGATTATGAACGATCTTCGGCACAGCATCGACGGTGACCGCCCTCGTTACGTCGCGATCAATCGTTCACCCGTAAGCATAAAAGTCCGCAGTGGCGGGTCGATTTTTACATTCCTATACGCACGTAGAAACTTTCTAGCGGGCTTTCACTCCCTGCTCTTATTACACGCATGTATTCGTGTTACATCGGTGTTATCGAATACAACCTGTTCTCTATACTGCCTACTTATGTTCTTATTTGCGTTTATTTTAAGCGCGCCTTTACGCAAATGAGATAAAGAATCTTGCGATCAAGAGACAGCCGATTAACAGCGCGCTGTGAGAACGACGAGTGACTTACAATCTTAAGCCAAGGGATCCTGGAAAACTTCTCCACAATGTGGAACAGATAGAGAACGAGCAGGATCCCCGTGAACCAGAAGCCGACCATGGCCACGGTATTGAACCATCCTCCCCGGCTGTGGCTGCTGTGAGTCGACACCGTTATGCATATAAATCCCAAGAGATTCAGTACCTGAAAGAAGACCCCGGCGCGATTATCATTCATGAAAATTCTCTGTTGCGCAGCTGAGCGAGCATGCATTGTGCCCAAATACAAAGCCTCGCTCTTGCAACCGTTGTGAGAGATTTAAGAATCCATTATAGCCCGTGACGCAACCTGGGTACTTTACACCGGCCGTCGTAATCTTAATTTACGGTAGAAACAACATGTACGTTTTGTACATAATTAAATTATTTACACTGCGTATAATTAACGGGCCAAGCGTGCTGGTTTTTAATAGATTTTCTAGTTCTTGATAATCTTTCGACTAATTAAAATTTTTATCTGTGAGCATTATCTTTAAATGTTCAATTCTAAGAGATTTATATTTAGCATCTTTCACGTTGGACTTTAATGATTAACTTATGACTCATAATCTTTTATTAACAACATTAGGACCGAGCAATTGAAATATTTCTCGCGAATTGTTTGACAGAATTACTACAAGATTGTACAAGCGACGAATAAACGTAGGTCGCAGCACTCACCACTTGCACGATCTTTAATATACCAGGCAACGTCCTCGCATATGACGGATCGAACCGCACATTGGGCTGAGTCGTCGTGGTGGAAGTCGTCACGGTGGTCGTGGTGGTGTGCTGCCCCGGGAAACCTTGATCCATCTTCTCCGGTTATTCTAAAACTGTAACGCAATAATACGTAGTACACGATACACCTCGCCGGTCTTGCAAATCGCCGTCACGCTGATCCGATACGCGCGAGGACGTCGGTGACTCTTCGTAAGGGCGCGTCTCAAGTGGAACGGTCGACCGAGCATCGACCGAGCCGCACGAACGCGGGGGATGAGGAAAATATGGACCTTAAAATAAAGATCCGCCGACGGTAGCGTTTGTCAAACACGCGCACTAGATCTGCAAACGCGAAGCGTATCGAGGCCAACGCGCTTAAAAAGCGCTCGCCTCCTCGGAGCCTTGTTCTCCCCGAGGATTTTATTTCAGGAAATTGGATAAATGTAGGCTCTCTCTCTCCACGGGGGAGAGGGGGGTGTGAATAACGTATCGATCCTTAATTAAAGATATTTGATACCGGGAACCCGAGAAGGGTAAAAGAGCGAGTGCGGTGAGTGATATATTTTCTAAACTGACCACTTGAGATGCAAAATTATTTCTGCAAAAAAACATCCGAAGGACGTGTTTTATGCAACTTCCACGTCGGGGATGCTCCTCGCGCGGATGTCGGAGAAAATAGCACACGCTCTGATATTTACTATCGTAACCGGCGTTATCGATTGTGCCCAAACAACTTGTCATCTATTTATAATTATAACGCACCGTGGCACGACGTCTCGCGAATGCGTGCCTTTGTGTATTTGCATCTCTTTGATTCACGATTTCCTTTACTGGAAAAGATTACTCTTCTAGTCCACTTTCGACAAACTAAGACGATCGCTTGGCCTTCATCGTAAACATTCTCTGAAATCTTTTGCATTACACGTGTCTTCTATATCAAATATTAAATTCTCACAAATAAAATAATATATATTATTTTACTATATAACTATATATTATTTTATTAAATAAGCCTTTTAAAAGCCAAAGTAAACGAGTATTATCTCAATTTTATTTATATTTTTAATTAGAAAAAAAATTTTCAAGCTAAATAGAATTTATATATATTTTTTAACAATAATACCAGAGCACATTTAGCTTATTCCTTTAACAATTTCCTCTACATCTTATTTTATTGATCACTTTACCTTTCGAAATGCTCATGCAATAAATAATTTGAAAAATGCTATTAAAAATTGCATAAATCTGAAAGTTTCAGCGGTACGTCAAGCATCGATCGACTCGATGCATGCACGAAGGACACACGCACCTGAACACGTAATTCTTTCGCGCTTCCCACAATTAACGCTCAATTAATGTGAAATCACGCGCGGGAAGGGAGAGGAAAGGGGGACGCTGGTTGCCGGAGATATGCACCGCGATCGACGCCGAGGGACGGAGAAAATGAAAACGCGGATCGATTACGAGGGCTATCGTGCAGGCGTAAAAGGCGTAAACGCGTTTGCGTCGACGATAACGACACGGATAATCGACGCGTCTGGTGATCCCCAGTCGTGACGTTGCTGAAATAATTTCCCTCAAAAATCGTTTATTTTATAATATAGAACTTAGAAGGACGTAACCAAGAGCGACGTCGCTCAATTCTTTTCATTTTATCTAAGTGGCTTTTGAAAAGAGTACTTGCGAGCGAACCGAGAAAGCGATGCCGTGCCGTCCCGAGAGATCGCGAGCATCTCGAAGTGACTCGAAGATGCTCGGGGATTCGGGTTAGAGACCGCGGCGCGGCGTCTCTTTATTATGTCACTCGAGGCGCGTGCCGCGTGGGAATTACTTAATCTCGCAGCGTGAGGTCATTCCGACTGGAAATAGACGGTGACAGTTCACGGCGGAGGGACAACGCGGCCGAGGTGCGGCCGTGCATGCACGTGGTCGTTAAAATCTTCCCACGACGCGGGTGGGAAAGACAGGGCGAAAACGTCAGAACGTTGATAAATTTGGCAAATACCGCGCTTCATCGAGCGTACACAATGCGTCCTGTCGTCTCTGATCCCTAAAGTCACCGAGACTTACCGTTAGTATCTATAAATTATATGATAAATATTATTGCATCATTAATATCTTTTCATATCTTTATAATAAGAAGACGATCTTTTTAGTAACTTGGCACAGCGCATACAGAATTAATTCAAAAGAAAGAATTTATTGAATACCCCAGAGGTCCCCTAAGAAGTTAAACTCATCGCAAATTATCACGTCCTTTGGCATGCGACGCACAATTAAATTAAATCTTCCAAAATTCGCTTCTGATTAAAACTTGGTTTTGAATTATTAATGGCTCATATTCCACATTATATGAATCTCTTATTTCACATTTCATCGACGAATCCCGCTATATTGTTATTCATGCGTCACGAACATAACGTAAATTCCTTTCCGCCTTCCGTCATCGGGATAAAATTACAATGCGATTTATCCAGGCAATCCAGCTTGATGAAACGATGATCGATTCAGCCGGCAGAATCGCTTGCGGTAAAATTTCTAACTGTAAAAAAAAATCGTCGCGTCTACGAGTTAATCCTTCATAATCGGATTTCTTTTGCTCTGTAAAAAAAAGTTACTCAAGTAAGTAAAGTAAGTAAATTATCCAAGCAAGAGTAAAAGAATTAAATGGAAAAATTGATTAAATCACCAAGACTTAAAAAGTTTAGGTATACGGGTAACTTCCAAGTCGCGTGGCATTACGAAGGATTAGTCGAAGATTAAATTAACCGGAGTTTGGCCGACCGGAGTTTACTCCAGGCGAGAACTGCGGATCAAAAGCGCGTGAGACCGCGTCTTATCTCACGGTTGCAGGGAGATATCGGTGGGTGTCGCGGGGATGGAATGTATGCAACGCGCGTGGGTGGAGGACTGACATTGTTGTCGCAACGAGATGCGGGATACGAATCTAACGACGCGACCCACGCCGATAGAGAACCCCGGTGGCGGGGTTCGACGGACGCGACGCCATATCGGACGCCCCGTCGTGAGGATCGATTTCCATCAAAGATTTGGCTCCCTTTCCTTTCCCCAATGCTTGACTTTACAGCCGTGTATCAGAATTTTCCCGGAACCCGGAACCGTCGAACGACTTTATATCTTGGCTTATCGGAATTGACGTTTATGACTTCTTAATGTCTTAAGAGTGTTCATAGTCCAATCTGTGGGCATTCAGTATCGTTTTAAGTACGACCTCGAGATGTTATACAGTCATCACCTCGTTGATTGGATGGAATCTAAGGACCACTTAAGACCTGCAGAGACTCGAGATTTATCTTAAATTCAATAATAATTTTATTGCAAATGAAACGAAATCTTATACGTGGAAACAAAATCATTGTGAAGAATTGGATCTCAAGTGGCGAGGCATCAGCAATGATGCTGCTTACAGGCCTAAATCCCTAAGATCTGTATACCTCCCTGGACGAGAAAGAGAATCGCCTTCGAGAATCGACGCGCAGTTAATACAATTATCTCTTAATCTAACATTATCTCAAGTATCTTGTATAATATTGTATATTAATCACTGGACGATACGTCACGAACTTCCTCGATTGCGATCGAGCGACCAAATTCGTAAACAAATGTAAAACGTCAGCTACTCCACTCGCGGGATTCGCGCGGAGAAGTTTCCGTCCTCGTTCCAAGTCGGCCGTGGAAAGCTGTCAACGCGATCTCCCTCGACTCCCTCATTCATCATCACCGCTCGCGCGGCCTCGCGCGGGGAGCTACGCCCCGCGACGCTCTCCCACGTACGGGCGAGGGGAGGTCGGAGCCGGGGACGGCCGAACGACCGTCTACTCTACGCCGTCTACGCGTCGAATTAGCGACGGCTATCGACTGGCTGCGCCGCGCGTCGCGTCGCCTCGCGAATAAACGTCGACTCCGCGATCGCTGCACGATCGTCGGAATGAGGCGACAAGGCGAGAACCGCGAACGGTCCGCGCGTAAGCGTAATCGAGCGCGAACGTTTCCGCGAGCGACGCGAAGGCGGCCGCGAACGCGCGTCGCAGACGCACGAGCAACGAACTTTTGTTGTTACCTGTTCCACCTGTTACTGCTCCTCTCCGGCTCTCCTTTCGCCACCTTCTTCTCCACTTCGCGCTTAATCCCTTTCGCGAGTCGTCGCGACGACGCTACGCTTCCACCTTCTCCTCTTTCGGCGACACGCGATTCCAACGGAGAGCCGCAAACAACTCGGGCACAATCCACAATCGTTCGCTCGAATCTCCGCTCCGCGTCCCGGCGTGTTTTTCCCCCCCTTCTTCCTCCGCTCCGAGTTCCGACCGATCGTTCCCGTCGGGATAACCGTCCACGAAGTGCGCGAAGACAAGAGGGAAACGCGACAGTTTCGTGGGCTGTACCAGGGACACACCAGGGAGCTCGAGAATGAGTTTCAAAACGCACTAATGTCGCGTACATACGCATAAGCTTGTTCTTTGCGGCTGAAGCTTCGTTCATCTTTTCTCTTCTCTTTAATTACACATACGTCATGCGTTTAATTATAAATGTGCTTTTTGAACGCAAAAATTATGATATCGTGCTGCTATAAAAATAAAGCCTCTTATCGCTGTATAAGTTTTCGACATAAGACGGTATTCTGATATAGCAGATATAGCTTACTTCAAAACGGCTGACAAGGTCGAATAGCGAATAAATAAATTGAAATAGAGCCTACATTTATTTATATCACGCCTACGGTCACCACATAGCCACATGGGCGAACGTCATGAACCTCGTTCTTAACTTTTTGTATGTACTTTTCAGCTTTTCTCTTTGAATCATGGCCGAATCGATCCTAGTGGAGGTCGGGAGCCATTATCCGTTATATTAAAGAAGAAGAGAAGAAGAAGCTTCTCTCTCTTTTCCCCCTCATTGTCTAATACTCAATCTCGTTTTATAAGTGCAGGAAGCAGGAAGTATAGCGGTGCAAAGGTCTGCATCCTACTCCACTACAACTATAGCAGGGATCATCTGGCTGGGGCTGGGAGCAAAGAACATATCCATGGCACACATAGTGATGTGGAGTAACGAGGTGGGGAGAGGGTCAACCAGTGGATGACGGAGCAGATTGTCCCGAGTCCGCGGTAACTGGAGAAATCAGAGACCCTCGTAACAGTCAACCCCGCGCTGGAGACCTCCACGGAACACTGTGGTGCGCGTGTTTCTGATCCAAGAGGTTAGCCCAGTGCGATGATTCTAGGTGACGTCGGGCGTCGATAACCGAACTCGAAGCGCGACGATGGCGACAGGTAAGCGACGTAGCATCCACACGTCGTCCTCCGGGAACGCCGGTGCGTTCGGTTACACCAGCGGCGGTGGCCCGCGTTTGACCAGCCGGATGAACTTCCGACCGAGCGGCGCGCAGCAAGAGGACCGCGGTGGTACCCGACCGACCGCGGCGCCGAGCTCGATCGGCCTCATCCTGGTCACCATGCTGCTGCACGTGTGCAAGAAGTCGCTGCTCTTCGACACCCGGCTCAAGGTGGCCATCTACTGCGGCACGATATTCATCGTCTCCGTGATCGCAGACTTCGTCGCGATGCCACGCACCTACTTCTCCAGGTCTGACAACGCCCTGAATCAGTACTTCGTCAAGTGGGGCTGGGGCTGGCTGCTGTCCGTGATCGTGCCCTGGGTCGTCCTGACGGCGCACACGCTCGGCTGCGGCCGTCGGCCGATCCTGCTGAGGCATCTGGCCCGCATCGTACTCGCCACTGTCGCCTGGCTTGTCTGGACGAAGCTGTTCAATTACATCGAGACTAATTACGGCAGGTGTCTGGGCACCCGCGACATCCAGATGCAGTCCAAGGCCAGGTGCCTGCAGTCGGGTAGATTCTGGAGCGGCCTCGACATATCCGGGCACACGTTTATCTTGATCTACTCGAGCCTGATCCTCGCTGAGGAAGGCTCCTCTTTGCTGGGATGGGAAGGTATTAAGGACTTGATAATGCGGGAAGAACATACACGGTCTGTGCCGAATGAGACCAGCACCGGTCCACTGCGAAATCTCTCCGACGACGACCTGGAGTTCCTGAAGAAGGCGCACCGAGCGCTCACGCCGTATCTACGTGGCCTCTTTCTGGTGATGACGGTGCAGCAGCTGCTGTGGGACGTTATGCTAGTGTCAACGATGCTCTACTATCACATCATGATTGAGAAATTCTTGGGTGGCGTAGCCGCGGTCGTCACGTGGTACGTCACGTATCACTGGTGGTACAAACTGCCGAAGATCGGCCTCCCGGCACCCGGTGACGGCCTCTTCAAGTACAACGAGGTAAAGACGAATCCGGTGCCAGGAATCAGCGCCAGGGTGAGACGCAGCACGTTGAACGGCACCAATCAGCCGAGGTTCATGGGAATGCCTATTTTCAGAACGACGCAAGAGACCGCGGAACCAAACCCGTCGCCTAGACAAGTGGATCTCGACATGTCGATGTCTGCTCCGAGGTTGTAAAAACGCGTCGCCCTCGACGAACTGATCGCTTTCACGATTCTTGTTCCCTTGGTACTTAAACATTTGGCGATTGATATTTAAATAAGTATCCGGATATAGGGTTCCCTTATGTCTGAGTACAAAGGTCGATTTGAATGTAAGAATAGTATAAAATATAATTTCGTCTGAAGGATGCCTTCCTTCGGTTTCCTATACGTAAGCAAAGAATTTCAAATGCACACTCGCATGTGCATTAGGATATCCTTGATAAGTTATTTATAATTGTAGAATAATAAACAGGAATATGCGTCTGTTTTTTCGGTTGTTGGATTGTTGTTAAGAAGAACAAAGATTTTTATTTGTTTAGGGTTTAAAGTCAGTGTCTTCGGTAACACTCTTCTGAATTTTGTTTTGTAACTTATATTTAATAAAGTCTGTTGTTAACAAAGCGTCCGTTTTTCTTAAGTTCACAGGTTGTTTACGGCATGGAATAAGCGTAGCGTCTATATACCGTGCTATATTTATACACGGAAGAAAAGTACAAAATATATATAAGTTTTCGTGATGAAAACTATTTTTCTCCCCTTGCGTGTGGTACAATCGCTACATTTAAGAGAGTATATATTCTTATTGAAATTATTCTTTCGCATTGTTAGACGGAAGATTGTCTAATAGCAGGTCAATAATCATTTTTATTAAATGCTTCTAATTTGGCAATAATAAAAATCTCCACATTCTGAATTGTATCATGAAAAATAACAATTTGTTTTCCAGAGAAAAAACGTGATAACAAAATAATATATGGTGATAACAAAATAAATACATAATTTGCAATATTTGTTGTAATAAATTCATCCTTTTGTTACAGATCGAAACTTCTTTGTCCATTAATGAAAAGTAACAACGTCAGATAGCTCTAATTGATTATTATTAGCTTGTATTAGCAAAGTCATTTTGTCCTTACTTTGTGAAAAATGACATTAATTTAGCAGCACTGCCTATTATACTTGTAACAAAATTAATTTTCTATTGTTGATTTTGCCTACGAGTACAGCAGAATAATTCTCATATTTGGCAACATAGAGATCTTTGACAATCGATGTTTAATACTTTGACATTAGAATAAAAGTAGACATTTTTGTTAATAGATATTTGTACAGAGATATAATTTACATCGGTTAATATCACCTCACTAATCGGCTTTTAGAAAAATCGTAACTCATCGCGATTGTAGACTTATTATGCGCACATGTGTTAACGAGAATTCAGTTAACCAACATGGATATAATTAATTATGCATGTGCAATAAGATGCAAGTTGTATACTTCCTCGATATGCGTAATGTATTTCTTATGTTTTACATTTTACATAAAAATAATCACTCGAGTGTTACTTAAACAAAATCGCGACGAGACTGTACAGTACCAATTATTATGTTCAAGCGTCTACCTAAGAAAAAGAGAAGTTTAGTGAAGAAATAAAACGTAAATAATGGGAATTAACCCTGTATTGTAAAAATGAGAACATTTTTGCTTATATATACCATCACAATCTAACAGGCCTCACATATTTCGTTATTTCGTGATGGTGATGGCAGCTAATTATACAGTGTACTTAGATAACATTTAATACATACGTATTTATCCACATTCACGAACAGAGATCGAATACCGAAACGAAATGATTTAATTAGTAACTGTATATCGATATCTAATTACAATTGTATTATCTTTCAAAAAATGAAAATAATCTGTAATTTCGGTAAGTTTAGTTTTTCATTAATAGGTATGAGAAAGATCTTTACATATATCCCGATATTTAATATATAATAAATTTTTTTGCAAAATACATATCTATGAGTGCTGCAAATTTAATTAATTTATTAATTTTACCGGAAAATTATCTGTATATTGATATACGTTATATGTCATGTCAGAATTCATATCAATCTTTTTTTCCGGTTATCATTATACATGAGATTGATATTTGATATACCATTTTCGATCCCTGTTCATAAAGAGCGCACGCTGACATCAATCGAATTGATTTTAAACTTTCGATCTTTTACGCGCAATCGCATCCTCCACGGCCTTTAGTTGTTTTAATAATTCCTCGCGTCGCGAGCTCGCCTTCTTGGCGGCTTTGGCCGCCGCCGCGGCCACTTGCGCTTTGTTGTCGATTAACGGCGGTGACTCGATACTCCGCTTTTTACCTGCCATAAGTGCACTACGGTCGATCTTTTTCACCGCTGTGGTGTTGCTCGTGGGTTTCAGTGTTAGCTTAATCTGCTGCTTCGCGCCGCTCAGCTTCAAAGCGTCGATGCCTTTGGAGTCTTTACGCGTTATCGGCGGTGTTGAACCCTTTCTTCTACGCGCCTCACTCGAGGACGACGAGTAACTCGATTCGCTCGAGTCGCTACTACTTCCACTGCTCTCCGATCCTGAGCTACTGTGAGATGACCTGAAATATATATATTTTTTTCTTTTCTTTTTCTTCACACAACATTAATAAATGCAATATAAATCAAGGAACATCTCCTAAGATTAGATTCGCTGATTTATAAGTCATAACTCATTTTGTTACATTCTCAAAAGAAGTTTTTGACGATAACTTTGCAGTGAATTGCGTGTGTCAGAATTAGTATGATCTCAAAAAAATGAGAATTTTTTAGATTTATATCTTTCACATTCATATTTTTAAAGATTTAACTACTTGTAATTTAAAAGACATCTTTTTTTTACCTAGATCTAGAGCGACTTTTAATGATCTTAGCCACAGCAGCCGCAGCCATAGCAGCCTTTTGCTCCCTGGCTTTTTCGTGATGACGATGAGATGAGAGCGGGCTTGGGGCAGGTGGATTCAATCCGGCCCGTCGATGCAACGTACCCGTAGGAGAGATAGAACCTTTGGGTGGGCGAGGAGAGGGAGCGGGAGGATTCATTAGCATAGCACCTCGTTGAGGTGTGGCTGCGGGGACAGCCGGGGGATTTGTAGGTGGTGAAGTAAGAACAGTGGATTTGCTTTTGCCAGCAGAACGGGTTCTAGATGGCGGGGAGGGTGAGCGAGACCTGGATAGGGAGTCGTAAGAACTGTAGCTAGAACGACTGGAGCTACGGCTAGAACTAAAAAGACGATACTCTTGTACGTTTTTATATATAAAAAAGTAGCACAGTAAACATTTAGGTAAAAAAAATGCACGCAATTCTTGACTAATGTGTTATTTTCGTTTTCTCACTTTCTTTCTCTTTGCGTGAGAAATACTATTGAATGTATTGTTCTCAATAAGTCTCCAGATCTTCCGAGAATTTCTATATATAGAGCGCTCTTTAAAAGATAACAGAACATAATAATGAATTGCATACGAATACGCGTAATACCTCGTTGAAGAATATGAAGAGCCGGAAGAGTAAGACTGCCGCCGGGATCGACGAGACGATGTATTGCGGCGTACGGTGCTCGGGGACTTGCGTCGCATCCATGGATCTGCCCATTCGTCGCCTCTACTCCTTTCGGCAGGAGGTGGCTCTTCCTCTCGCCAAGGTTTCGTCGGAGGAATACGCTCTACAATGACTTCCCGCGATGGCCGTTTATGCTTCTTCTCGTACTTTTCATAATAATCACGTTCTCTATCGCGCTCACGATCTCGTTCCCTCTCGCGATCGCGACTATGCGGTGGCGGAGAAACCGAATGCGCACCACGAGGAATCGCACCATGATAATCAAAACGTTCCCGGTAGTCCCGAGACTCTTTGTAGTGTACTCGCCTGGTTATTGAAAATAAAAGTGAGAATCAGTTTGATTGCGAAGCATTTTGTAGGATTGATATACAATATAAAAATAATTTTTAGAGCTAAAAATAAAATCTTTTTAGAGCTTGGTCATACACGATCGTTTCGTTCTCACCTGTAATAGTCGGTTGACGCGGATGGAGGATAATATCCTTCGGGCTCGTCAACATATCTTTCTGGTGTAAGTCTGGTAGATGATGATACTCTGCGCGGTACCTCCCGTTGCGGCCATCTTTCGACCGGCGGCTCAGGACTAGCGGCTCTCACATAGTATCCCGCCTCTCTATCTAATTCATCCTGTCCTAAACTCAGGTTCATTTTCTTCTCTTCGAAATCCATGTCCGATTCTTTGCGTTTATTGGCTTTACGCATCATCTAGGTAATCAGGTAGGAAAATATCTTCTTTGAAATTCGATTTTAGATTGGAATGTTTATAAAATATTATAAACGACATGCATAGTGCCATGCACAAGATCTCGCGCGTAACTTACTTCCTTGGCGTGTCGCAGACCGCGTTCCCAGGCAGATTCAGTCGGCGTCTCTTCGACTTTAGGTGCATGTGTAGGAGCACCGTAACTGGGCAATGATGCTCGCATACTCGGTCTGTCGATGTGCGATCTATATTCGTGTGGCGCGGCGGCGTGTGGCGGATATGCCATAGGCCTCACCATATCGAACATGGTGTAGTTACCTTTGTCTGTTACTCCTGGATGCAAAAATCTACAGCTAACGCCCCATGTACATTGGCCCCGACTATAAAAACGACACACTGGTCTCGGCTCAGTCTCCTCCGGTCGTGCATCATCTCCATCGCTAAGCTCCCCTTCCTCCAATTCAGATTCTTCTTTCTCCCCTTCTTCCCCTTCTTCTTTATCGTTCGTCTCGCCAGATTCTTTCGACTTCGCCTTATCCCTGTCTTTATCTTTATCTTTGCTATCTTTCTCTGTGTTATCTTTAGTCTCTTTCGCAATAGGCGCCTCAGTTTCACCTATAATTTTATCAACAGTAAATGCAATTTTATAGAAGTATCTTATTGAACGAAACATTTATAGAATATTATAATGTTCAGATATCTATGCAATTTCAATTAAAGAAATGGATTTGAAGCTTGAAATTTATAATATATTTACCTTCGTCACGCTCATCTTTCCATTGACCATCGGCTTCAAAATCTAGTTGCTCACTTTCCTCTGTCAACCCAACTGGTGCAATTTTGTCTTCCTTTCCTGTACTTTCTTCGTCATTATTGGTTTCTTGTTTGGCATCCTGTTCTTGAGCCTTGTTTGTTTCTGCGTTCTGTTCAGCGGACTCTTCAGCACCGTCCATACTCTCAAGATCTGATACGTCCGACAAATCCTCGCCATGAGTCATAGGTGTAGGTTTAGATTTAGACATGGGCTCTGGTTCGTCTTCAATATCTCCATCCGAGATTTGCTCGCCGTCCAATTCGTTATACGACCCGTTCTTTTCGTCTTCGGGAGACCGAGGGCCTGAATGCGCCGGTGAGGGTTTATCCGATTCTTGATCATCCATAGGAGACGCCGGACCGGATTTGAACGACTTCGGCGAGCTCGCCGATATTAAGGACTTGACGGAACTCGGACCCGATCTGGGTGACTTTGGCGAACTTTGCCTGGACTCGCTATTCTTGTATGAGTATGACTTTAATGAATTGTCAGCAGATCTTTGCGTATCCGCTTCGAGGTCAGACGCCTTCGACTCGGTGTCTCCGAAGCGCATAGACTTGGAATCGTTCGAAGGGGAGAGACACGACCCATTGTCCTGTACGGGCGATCGAGACAAGCTGCGATACGATGGGGGTGAAGCGGGAGAGTTATTTCCCGAGTGGTTGGACGAGTCGTTTGGGTTGTATGCCGGCGATTTGGGCGGGCCATAAGGCGATAAGGGTGACAGCGGTGGAGACTTTGACAAACTACGGATCGACCTCGGGGAGCCTTCTTCACTGGGAGACATTATCCCGGATCGCTGCGATTTCGGCGATAACGGGGTGGATCGTGGCGACTTGGACTCGTCGCCTGATAACGGCGATCGAGGAGACTTCCCGCCGGAGAAGATAGAACTCGCGGCGGACTTTCGTCGCTCCGATCCGGAGGAGTGATGCGAGTAGTGTGACGATGTTACCTCATCTCTGGCCGAAGCAAGCCGATTCCTGCCTTCGTCATATCCCTCCGAGGAACTGTCCGTACCAGAGTCGGACATGTCGGATTCTATTTCAGCCTGTAAATTAATGAGACTCGTTAAAAGGGCGGCCGGACAATTTCAAACGGACGAGAACGGGGGAATGTCTTGATTAGATCTCTAAATGTAACCCATTCCAATCTCTCTCTTATTTGGTAAGTTAACTTAAGCCTTTATTTATTTATTTATTTTTTTTAAGGCGTACCGACCGTATGTAGCACTGAATAATCTGCATCAGTAGCATCACAGAGCTTACCTGTGTCAATCAGAGTCTGTGAAGTATTCGCTCTTGATGGCACAACGCGCGCGATCCATATCGTGTCGAACATACTTTCTTATATCACAACTTTCGACTTTCTCGCTCTTTTTTTTTATTCGAAACTTTTTTTCTTTAATACTTTATTACTCAAACTGAACTTTGCTTGCTCACATATGCAATACGTGCCGTTTTTGGCCGGACTTTTCTTGCGCGGAACTTTTTAGTGTCGTTTTAAACTTTCAACTTGAACACAACACAAACTAAGTAAAGTACTGATAAACCACGAACCGTTTTTTAAATACTGCACTAGCGAAACTATAGCGAACGAACTTTCAACCTGAAAGAATATTTCTTGGGCCTATGGGGGAGAGAAAGAAAATGGGACAGGACCGGAAGGGTGAGATGAACGGACAAAAACATGAAGGAAGCTTCAATGATGGCATATCCTAATCACATTAATGATTGTTTTTTTGGCAAAATGTAATTCAATTATGTAATCAAGATTGTAATAGGTGACCTCTGTTAATACAAGCTCTTCGGAAAGAGAAGACTGTACTCTCCAAGCAATCATACCTCAAGGCTCTCTTCTCGTTTACCTTCCGGCCAGAATTAAACTTTGCCATTGCGACGATTCCGATGACGTTTATTTAGGTGCATTAATTATTTAGGAGCATTAATTCCTGGTGAAGTCTAAAGAGAATTCGTAGTGTACATGTGTGGTGACAAAACGTCAAAGGATTCACAGTATCGATTGCAGTAATGATACACGTAATTAACAAACGAACAAAGGAGTGACTTCTTACATTTAGTTCCACATTAAACAGATCTTGTGTAGCGTACACAGGATCCATCTAATACCTCATCAAGTCCAAGTTTGTTTATTTATTTCTGTTTACGAGAGAGATAAAAGGCGCAGCCAGGGTACCGTCTGGGAGCTTTTCCTTTCGGGGACGACGTGCAGTACCTCGCTTCGTCGCGTCAGCGCGGATAAAAGCGGAAGGTTAAGGCGACGTTCGCGATTACTGCAATCCAGACTGCGACGCGAGGGACACGCGTGGGCGTGAACATGCGTGCATGCGTGCGTGCAAGTGGGTATACGGGGTAGCATTCGCGGGTTTGCGCGGGGGAGCCAGACGGGAGGGGGAAGAGGGGGGACTGGCACAGGTCGGCACGGTTATCGTTTATCCGCGTCCTGTCCGTGTGAGACGGGACGTCGGCGGTTGCGATCTTACCTTGGTCGCGCGTTTACTGCGAGGCCTGCGCGGGGCCTCGGCGGTGACTCCGAGACCTCGTAACGAGGACTCCAAAGGCGGCCGGCGTCACCCGCGGATGCTGACGTTTTTCTCTCGCGCCAGCCGCGACGAGACTCGGCCGACTCGGCGAGGCTCGCGAGACTCCTCCACGACGGACGGTGCTCGGCTCACACGCGCACGTAACCCTGCACCCCGGTCCGTGTGCGGGAGACACGTTTCCGGATCCCTCGCTCTCTCTCTCTGATCTCTCTGGCCTCTGGCCTCTGGAGTCTGGCCGCTCTTTCGGTCTTTCGTCGCGCAGAATTAGCAACCCCCGTCGTCGCGAAGAGAACAAAGCACAAACGTCGAGAGGGAGAGCGAGAGAGCCGAGAGGGAAACGCACCGTCCGTTTCACGGCCGTGAGTTTGAGATCGCTAGATGGGCGCGATTTTGCGTTTATCCCGTTCGTCCATGAATGGGATCGACCAATCAGTTGTTGAGTGGTCGGCATCTCATTGGCACTGACGTTTTTGTACGGAACGCTCGTCTTCGTCAGCTGTATTATCGATTGAACGCGAAAGTTTAGTTTACGGTTCTTACGAATAGGTTGCAGCATATGTCGGAGCACGTGTCCGCACGTGTCGAAGTAAAAAAGGAAAAGGATTTCTCAGATTGAAGAAGATTATAAATCCTCCTTGCCTCTTCTTCGATTGAAATAAAGCCATGAGCGAAAGAAGAAAAATAAGACTGAAATAGACTATTGTACAATTTATATGGCTCCGTTCAGGGGCGACCAACTTATTTTGACAGATCTCAAGTTCAATTCCGATTTTCGTCGATTTCCTACGAACACTGTACTGTGAGCCCTTTTTCCACGATAATTAAAGATTATAATAGTTCAAGAAGTCCTGTGTCGAATGATCAGTACCCAATAAATAGTTAAACGCACTTGGATCCAACCTGAATCCTTTGGAAAAGATGAAGATAAAATGAAGCCAGACGACGAACAGGTCTCGAGTTTCTCGCCAAGACTTTTTACAAAAGATGTGGGGTCTTTCAGATTATCTCATTTCGGATCTCTATATTCTCTTACTCGTAGTTGATTAAATAAAGGAAAAATACTTTAAAATGGATGTCACAAAATCAACAAGTATAGTTGATATGGCAAACTGGAAACTGGAATAAGTAAAGATCCATGTTAAATTAACCGATAGAAAATTCGCTTTTAATTTCTTATATGTAATATTACAAGATGATGGATTACGTATGGAGATTCGTTTATATACTAATTGTCTTTATTTAAGTAAAGAAAACTTAATTCGTAATACCTAAATATATAGTACTTAAATTTTCATATCGACTGAACTAAATAGCTCGTAAAGTACATTACATAACATAAAGTAAACTTACTCTAGCCATTACAATTGATATCCAATGTCAAATCAATGATGAATGTAAGCGTAATATTCAATAACCGCTAGTGCCGTTGATAACACTTTTTCTTATTGCAATTTTTCCTAAAAGTTATCTATATATATATCTTATATGATATAAATTATATACGAAAATATAACAAAAATGCGGTATAAAATCTACAAGAGCTATTATTGTAACAGATCTATATACGTAAAGATAATCTAAAAAAACAGTCTAGAAATTAATAAACTTGGAGAATATTAAATTTACGTTTAACATTGAGAAGACAAGTCTCGTGTGAATTACAGAAAAAGTTGTACATATTCCGAATACTGTTAGTATGTCAGTCATGAAATCGCAATGAATTCGAATGTACTGTTGGAAGATATTCCTGTCCTAATCCATGTCCTAAAATCAGATAGTCGCACTTTTTTTTGCTGTAGTCGTTAAATGCGACTCAAATCGAATCCTTTGTTCAAAACACAAAAAACCGCGCTTATTTGTACATTCGATTGATTTAGCTTGAACAGAATTCTAAAATAATCAGCTACACTTCGTAATAGCGTCTCTCATGTTCAGTAGCTTTCTAAACTTATAAGCAAAGTATACAAAAGAACATGATCACGATTTTAAATACAGACAATATTTATTAATATTAGTACTCGCTTTACTTGAAGAAACATCCAACACCCTATCTCAAGAAGATTTCAATAATCTTTGCGATAAAAACAAAAACTTCTCCCGAATTAAATTGTGCAGAAAAGCGAAGATAATCCTAAATCTTAATTTCTAAGTTTATAATTCGGAATTTACTGTTAAAGTTATCTCATACTGATAATTGAAAAATTTATCAAAAATATTATTGAAGCATGTTACATTTTATCAAAAAAATAATATACTTCAATTCTCGTCAGAGAAAATCCTTATTAAAATATTACGTGTATTACTAAGGCATCTTGTGAATCATATTTGTTTTTTTTATCGCGATAATATCATCAACTAATAAAACTTATTTATCTATTGTATCGTCGTTATTTCAGTATTACTATCGTTCATAGTCATAAAACTCAATCTATCCTCTTCGTCGAATATCGATCCATCGTCCGACTCGGGTTCCTGGCTCATAAAAATGTACTTGGTTTGTGCGTTCATGTCACGTTCCTTTTTGTGGGACCTTTTAATGGAAGTCCTATGCTGCAGTTTGATGAACTTGATCGCGTTCGAGCTATTTGGAGGTGTCGTATTCAGAAACTTGGATACTGTGGTATTTTTTACACTTTGAACATCATCTGCTCCTCGACTTGTGGACGGTTGAGGATCGTCGTAATCAGTCTCTTTACAAGCTTTCTCTCCCTCTTTTTCACACATAATACTGCATATTTCCTTTTCGGCGCAAGGAGTGTCGACATGATGCTTCAGAGACAAAGCTGTATGTTCTTCCAACATCTTCTCGCTATCTGTGAAACTGACGTGTCTACTCTCTTGGATGTACGATCGTTTCTTCTTTGAAGTTGGTCTCCTGCTATGGTTATGCTTATCTTTCTTATGTGATTTTTTAATAGAATCTATGTTATGAAGTAGCTCCACCGTCGACATATTTATTGGAGTTGATCTACCATTTTTGTCTTTCAGATTGACAGTATCCGCTGTTTTCAAAACGCTTACATCAGTCTCAAATTCTGTAGCATTATCGCGTTTCGATGCAAGATCTTCGTTTTTTCTCAATTCCTTGAAACGTGCGACTGGTGTCACGCATCTGGAACAATCAATTTCGTTCGACGTTGATTGCGCAGATTCATCTCTCTTCTGCGACATCTCGTCCGCGAGAACGTAATCCGTGACAGTGAGCAAAACTGGTGGTTTTTTAATAGGAGTATAAATCTGAACTTCGTCATCTATACTTTTACATCCTAAAGACACAAAGGCGCTTGGCATCTTGGGTGTGCTACTCAGCAGGGACATACTCCTTGGCTTCTTCTTTTTTTCGGGCGACATGCTAGGAGATTCTTCTACTCCAAGAGACTCATTCCTGCGTGAGATTCCGTCAATATTTTCCTCTTCATCTCGACTACTTTGTAATGAATCATTACTTCTCTTACGATATTCGTGATGGCATTCAGCAAAACTGTAAGTTCTTTTGCTACGTTTGTCTTTTTTATGTGACTTTTTAACCGAATTAAAACCAAGCAGTAAGAGTCTACTTGAATTTACATTTTCAGGTGTGCTTGGTCGATCAAATTCGAAATTCTGCGGACTTGAGACGCAAATCGCATTAGCCGTTTGACTTTTATCTTGATCATCATTACAAGCATCCTCGAGTGACATTTCAGATTTCGGTAATTCCATTTCTTGATCTTTCGTTTTAAACAATGTTTTTCTATTTCCATGTTTCAATTTCTTATGCGACTTCTTAATCGATTCTGTTAACACGTGCTTCAACACGTTTACGTGGTTTTCGGGTGTAACTACTTTGCTAGCGTCTTGAGAAATAATTGGATTAGATTCTGGAGATGCCATTCTATTTTCGCTCGTCGCATTGACATTACAAATACCTGAAGATTCTTCCTGCAAAGATAGCGGACTTGCTTCTTCATTACAAACATTCTCTTTGGAACGATCTTTTTTCTCTTCATCGTCATCTGCGAGATGTATACTAACTTGCATATTTTCTTCATGACTCACGCAATCGTTGAAATCAATATCCTGCGTTTCATCACTTTGTATTTGGTCCAATCCGCTTTCCAATGAATCAGTTCCCGTCGCTTCCTGCATACTGCAATCAAAATCTGATCCAATATCGAGACGTTCATCATCAAAATTGTAAATAAGCGTTCTCTTAGGATTTCTATTTTTCTTCTGAGATTCACTTTCAGAAGTGGCATTAGTTTCAGCATTTACATCTATTCCCGAAGATTCTGTCGTTCTTGAATGTAAGTCATCATTTTTTACGGGAACATCCTTTTGTTGAGTAGATGATTGTTCTTCATGACAATACAATTTTTCCTGTGAATGAAAAATAGATAGATTCTTATAAAATTTGGAAGGAATAAAAGATATCTACACTTGTATCTGGTTTTACTTGGTTTGATTCTATTTCAATAAGATAATAGGTTGAGACCGTGTAAAATCATAAAACATATAAAGATTTGCAAGAGATAGTTTAAAAATAAGAACAGCAATGCATAAGGCAATAATGAAATATAATTGTATATACCTTCTTGTGGCTCTTCTTGATGGCACTTATACTTTCCGGAATTATGTTTATTATATTTTCAGGTGTATGTGGCCTATCGAGTACTTCCTGGTTAAATTCCTGAGACAAATTCCTGGGTGTACTTGCAGTTATAACACGGCTGGGCCTGTTCAATCCACTATTTAACGAGCAAAAGGGATGTAAAGATATTCTGTGATTTGCATCCTTGTCAGTTCTTTCCTTTCCATCCTTTGAAAGCAACCTCATTACTTGAGATGATCTTGACAACGTATTTTCTTTTACATCAGTTCTCTTGCTCGATGTCTTAATATGTTTCCGATTATGTTGAGGCGTTTGATTCTGATTTTCGTCGATAGATTCCGCAGTCGGGACATTACTGTCGATGGAATCGGTCAAACTTGAATTTAATGTGGATGGCGATGTATTAGCGTTAATGGGACTGACGGAATTCTCGTAACTGCTGTTCTTTGGACTCGGAGTCGAGTCAAAGTTCAATAATTTTCTTATTCCTAAGTCCTCCCGGCTAGAATTCGAACTAAGTGCTCTCATTATCTTAGCCGATCTGGAATCTGACTTGTATATATCATAAGAATCGTCCGAACTTGAATTTGACGAGTGTAGCGAATTATCCGTATTGGTAGTACCAACAATGCAGAACTTTTTCATTTTGTACTGAAATCGAAATCTATTTTTCCGTGGATACTGTTTGATCGACGCTCCGGGCAATTTAAATGAATATGGCAGGAACTTGTTTTCAGTTGGCGACGTCAGATTTATAATTATGTCATGTTCTGGACTCAAGGCACCATCTTTGCTATTGCTGCCTTTCATATTTTCTAAATATCCGCTCATTCAGGTGCAATTATTACTGCATATGTAATATGTATGACTTGTCATACATATACAAGAATGCACATATGGAAATATACACACGTATATAGATAGGAGTGTGTATTTCACGAAAGGATTATTCTGTGATGTCTTTTTATGAGGATTATGTATCCGAGATTGTGCTTTCCTCCTTGCGAAGGTTCCTATAAAAAAGAAGGGATCGTTTAAAGAATAACACGTAAGTTATTTGCTATGTATTTACGACTGTGTTTTATAAATAGTTTTATTATATAAAGATGTGATTAAATATATACGTAACTAAAACATTTTAGTATTAACGTAAATGTATAATAAGGATTGCTTTGTTAGACAAGCTCGAAAATAAAGACCGAGTACTTATAATATGCCAAGAGTTAAATTATCCTCGCGAATTGTATGTAGACGACATCGAGCGAGAGGACGTTACCGATCGGAAAAGGATAAATGGATAAACAGAGAGCAGAATTCGCGTCAGAAGAAAGTGTCGTTTAAATCAGAAATACGATAGCATTTAAAGATATCTCCTTACGATTTTGCGCTGCTGCTTATGGGGAAACGGGCTCCTCGTCGCCGAATCTTCACAATGTAGCCGCGATGAACGGTCGGGGTCGGGATCTGGTGAGCGATCCACTCTGAAAAATCACACTGGAAACGTGCGTTCCACTCTCGCCACCGGCGTTCCGGGTGCCGGTGGTAATATGCGCGACGCGATTACTTCGAAATCGGACACGAGAATAATCACGAGAATCGGAAATCGGTCAATTGTACGCCGCGTAGGCAGATACACGTCCAGTTTTAACTTGTTCTCGCGTCTCGCGTGTCCACACTGTCCACGTATCCCATGGTGCATAGTGTTGCAAGATGGTGGACGGACAATGGCGTAAGCGGTAGTGAAAAAATGCTAGCAGACATCGCCATAGACTACGAATGAAATAGACCGAGAGCTGGGGGTCAATTGCATATATCACAAAAAGTTAGTAGAAAAGTGAGGAAATTCATTAGAATATCTGCGATTTTATTATTTGTTGAAATTTAGTAAATCTGTTCACTTTTGTAATTTTCACTTTATTTCAAGAAGCAAGATACACAATCGACCCTCTGATGCACCCAATGGATGACAGCCATAGCGTTCTCGGCGCGTGTTCTGATTGGTTACGATCGTTATAAATTGGTGCCCCTTTATGGAAAAATGCTACAGAATCTTTCATATTACTAATTATTAATCAGAACTTAAAATAATAATAATAAAATAATCAAGATTTTCCCGCCAATATATAACGAGTTACAGAATCGCGGTTCTGGGTTTAAGGGGATGCTGGAGCCGTCTGTTTTACCGGCATTTTTTGTCGGCACGTAGCGTCGTATTAATTTGACAGAATTAAAAATCCTTCTCCAGAATTGCAGTACATACATTAATGATTCGGGGAAACTCCGATTTTATATAGAAAACGAGAAAAAATTACGGAAGTACAGATTTCCTTATCCTACTCTTATCCCAATATGGCGTCTCGAATTGCGGCGAGCTGTCAGCTCGTCACAAGATGTATTTCATATAAGAGATATACCATTGGTACGAACGCGAAAACAAGTTTCCCCGAATTGCACAACAAGAAAAACATCGATAAACCCCCCAAATCAAGATTTGGAAGCGTAATATAAAAGTATAATGTCGGTGTGCATCGTGCGTATGTGTGCGTGCAATGTAGCGTGCTATCCTTGTCTATATCTTTGTCTATACAAGGACAGATATAGTTCGCCGGTCTTCTTTACCGACGCCGATCGAGTTCGGCTACGGCTCCAGCATCCCCTTAATCCTGATCCGGCCTTCATCCCACAATTTCTTGTTTAAGCAGAAGCATCCCTGATTATAAAGGAAAGAGCTGGATCAAAAAGAAATATATATACCTTTGCTTAAGAGAGAATTCCTCGGTTAAAGAGGATATGGTTAAAAGAAATATTTTTGTATTACGAGGGCATATCTATACCCTATTTGATGTTTTCTCTTTAAAGCGTGGTACTTTGGCTCTATATTGAGCCGGAAATTCAAACAAGGATTAGAAAAAGTCAAAAAAAGAGTATGAAATGAATGGCAATTCTCTTCGGAAACTCATATTTCACACAAGGACAAACTAAAATTTTCCTTCATGGGCGACACTGCAATTACAATAGTAATGCTACAACTCAGATGTCTTGCATTTTTTTTTAAGAATCTCACTTCTTGATTTTTAATTGTATTAAAAGTATATTAAACTACATTTCATCGTCATTTCTCACATTCTTATATACTAATATATAGTCGTGATAGTCTTTGAATCTATTTAACTCTGCATGATCGCGCTGTAACATAGTTTTAGTCGAAAAGTAAACTCCGTTTTGTACTTTAGCGGCAGCGATCTTAACAATTCTTGCGAAACGTCGTAAGAAATCCGTTTGTACGTTAGTAAAACATATATTGAGAAAGGGAAGACCTAGACGTGCCTAACATGAAAACTGACAATATATTCTGCATTAGTACGTTGCACCGAAATTGCGAATGGGTCCGTTGGGTGGAACGTGAATGCGACTAATCGTCTCGCAACCGTTGGTGCTGTTCGTCCCAGCATGCCGGCGTACATCCTGAATTTTAAGAGACCCGAATCGCGTGCATAGAAGCTGCAAAGAGAAAGGAAACTAGCAATAACACACAGGCAGAAATTGGTTTTCTCAAATAATTTTTTGTCGCCAGAGTAAAAATGAGTCGCCAACCGTATTGGATGTTCCCCGCACGCTTTGGGACGTTCCATCATGGACACCCATTTGTCATCGTAACAAAATAACGATAGATCTAAGTACGGAGAACTCGAGTAGGATTGCGCGCATATTGGTAACTGAGCGAGCAGCCTCTTCGTGGCTTCGGTAACGCCTCCGTATCTAGCGCTTATTATCGTTTGTTTGAATCTCTGCTGCAACAATCTGGAAAAACAAGGGGTACTTGATTTTTAAATTGTTCGAACATGTATTGCACGTGTGTGTTAATATCAAAATGCAAGATGTCACATACCTGGCATATATGTTATTAGAAGGCGAACACATGTACTGACAATCCGTGCTCATTCTGGCATTTCTGAAGAAGTCGCTAAAGTTTTCGAATTGGGTTAACAATTGAGTCGACGCGTTATCGTAAGCCGCCAAAATTTTTGCCATAACCATGTCGTAAACCACTAACAAAGCCGGCTGCGCGTTTGGTTCGTTTGCTTGCAACGTCGCCACTTCTTCGCTCGCGTACCTCACCAAGATATGATTCGTATCTAACAGCTGCATCTTCCACATTCGTAGTGAATTTAGCTGAAACATTTTATTCAATTAGCTGCTTGGCAAATTACCTATCAGCAATCGTAAAAGAGTTTAAGTAACAAAAAATAAAAATATCTTCAAATACCTGATCGAAATATTGATAAAATCTCCTTAGTTCATAAGGATCGTTCGTTACATAGCTTATATATTCCGCTCTTTTGTACAAGTATACCAGTAATCTGTGTTTCAGACTATTTATTGCAACATCCTTAAATGGCCGACAATTAGTCCCAGGAAAAGCACTTGTCACTAAATACGCGTCATCTTCCATGCAAAACCTGTAACACATACGTCATTTGTATTGTATTCTTCAAGTTGTTAATAATTGTAACGTTTAGTAAGATAAACTTTATGTTCAATATACCTTCCTATTGTCCTTACATTAATGAACATCCCATCAAGGATTTGAAAAATATGTATGGTTTGATGCTGTACAGACAAAACTGCTAAAATATCTTTGTATAAATACAGACCTGTGTAGAAAAAGAAATATATTCCTAAGCTCAGTATGTTGTTAATCGTTTAGCTGACCATTAATGCAATAAAATATTTCCTATGTGTTTTAACAAAAGTAGTTGAGTAATTAAAAATCTTTGCTCTTTTTGGCAAGTTACATTCGTCTAACGCTAAACCCCATTTGGTCAGATAAGTAGTGATTCAACTATCGTTCGTATACCTTGATTATGCGACAGATAAATTTTGTCGACTTTAAAATGTCTAGTATCGCACAGCTTTCCGCCCCTTAAATCAACTAGGTGCAAGCTGTAATCTTCAAGCGGCGATCTAGGATTTGGTGTCAGTGCCTCGTTGTTGGAGTAAATCTTAAAAGAAATAACATTTGGTCAAGCTACTTTTCGAGAAGGAATACTAATCCTACGTGAAAGTAATTAGGAATCTTTTGCTACCTGATAAAAGTGGGGCCTCAAGTCCTCAGGGATATGAGCGGCCGAGCCCACGATTACGTATCGAGCGTCATCGGTGAATAGACTGCATTCTCTGTTCAATTGCTGGTTGCTTTCTACTACATTTATAATCCACTTCACCTACAAATACGTTTCAGAGCTGGTACACCAATTTCACCGGTTTTCCATTTTACTCTCTCTCTCCCCCTCCCACCCCCCTTTCTCGCTCTTTCTCTTTTCTTTTCCTTAAACTTTACAATCCGCAAAGTAAAGGCGTACGCCGCGCGGAGTCGGTTAGTATCCAGTACCTTGAAAAATCGCGCGAAGATATTACTTCGTATGTGAAAGCTACAGTCGTCGTTCTTGTGGCCGATGTACTCGCCTTCGCAGTCGGCCAACAAGTCCGCGGCGGCCGGCGCTCCGCGGTACTCGTACACCTCGAGCGACGTCTGATCCGCGCTGAACGCCACCAAGTACCTCCCGTCCGGGCTAAACTTGCGCAGGAAACACGGCGGTTTCTCCACGTTCATCACGGTGAAGTTGGGAAAGACATTCTGATAGAATTGCCTCGCGCAGTGTACGTGGGTGCCCGGGTACGGGCAGCCCATCGTCTCCCTACGCCTGAGGCGCAGCACCACATTTTGCGGGCCGATCCTACGGGGATTGACGGGACAGGGATCCGCCACGGACTCGATCTTGCTCTCCCGCACCGCCATCCCACGCGACCTACGACTCCGGACTCGTAGCCGCTACGAGTTCATCGCGCGACGATAATGTTGCACGAGCGCGGCGTCCGTCTGTCGCGGTGAAAAAACGCCGATACTACGTGCGACGCATCGTCCCTGTCAAGCGTAACGTCGTTTACTGCCGACGACGTCGTCCCGGGTCGAGACATGCAAGTTTGAAGGAACTGAAGGAAGGTTAAACCAGGTTAACCCCCGAGACAGAACCACGGTCTCGAGGTCAGACGGACGGACTCGCGGCACTCGCGCTCGCGCCTCGCGCCATGTTTATTATTCCACTACCTTCGGGCGGCTTCGGGTATGTTCGGCATTGCTCGGGTATATCTTGACTTTTGACTAGTACGAAATGGTTATAGTTCAATGGTACGACAAAATAAATGCTTTAGTTACAACGAAACCGGATTTCGGCTCAGATGAAGAGCAGGAAGATACGAAAGCAAAAGTAATGGAACCGTACATCAAGAGCGATGTCTCAGACGACGAATTTCGGCTATCTAAAATATGCAGACAAAATGTTGATGCCTTGGAAAAAGTGGATAAGAGGTAAATTTTATAATAGTATTTTATATTTGCACATGTGAAAGATAAAAGAATTAGTATGTAAATAAAATCTTGAAAATGTCACAATTTATTCATATTGTTAACGCAGGTATGCTGGTAAAAAAATTTCGAGGAAAGATATATACAGTGACGAGGACGATAATATGAGTAAAGATGTGGGAAATGAAGGCTCCAACGAAGATGCTGAAGATGAAGAGATGGATGGTGCACGGGAGCAAAGTAACGATGAGTTAGGCAGCAATAGAAAAACAAATTTGAAAGAAGGATGTACAGATGTCTCAGAAAGTGTGTCTGATTTGAAAGAACAAGATGATGACAACATAGATACCAATGATCCAATGGTCAGGAATGTACTGAAACTTTGGCAAATTTTCTTCAGATGCGAAGAAAGAAACTGCAGACATGCGTTCTAATTAGTAATCAAATGCCACAATATGACACGCATAGAGAACTCAGATCAGACGTAGTTTTCGTGAAGAAGGTTAATTAAACTGAGCAAGTGTTCCAAATCGAAGCGATGCGCCGTCGTTTGGAGCCGTCGCCGTCGCATTACGCTCAGGAACGAGCAACATCTCGTTTGGAATCGCAGTTGCATGAAGCTACGACAAAATATAATTCCCTGGAGCAAACTATTACCGACAAAGCAACTCTATCTCTTTGTCGGTAATAGTTTGCTCCAGGGAATTATATTTTTTTTCCCCCCCAACTCCTTCTTGAAAGCCCAGCTTGAAAGGGCTAATCACTGATGAAATGTCAGTCACTTGGAAATGGAGTTGCAGCGTTCCGGAGAGGAGTCAAAATCATCATCTCCCAAAAACAACGATGTTAGCGAGGATTCTCAACGAATCGAGGAATTACTGTTATTAGCGAATCAGCTGCAAGCTCTGCAACAGGAGCTAGTTAAAGAAACAAGTTAAAAATTTTCAAACGTCAGCGAAGTAAAATGTATGTAATTATTTCGGTTTACACAAGATAATAATTCACAACGCAATTAGTTTTACGTGTCCATTCCATTACGGCGCGTTTTGTTATGAGGAGAGAATCGTAGGTCCTAAGAAAATTATAATAATGGTAAAATAAATACAAATAAATGTAAGATTTAATACATGTAATGAATATATTGTGTATGTGTATTTAACAACTTTTTAGTTTTGTTATATTATTATATATCTTTAATTTTTTTTTTTTATTAAAATAAGCTAACTACTTGAGTTTATCGCAGAGGTTGTTAACGACGACCGAATACGGAGCAGCTAATCAAATATTAGCCTCTAATGTAGCACGAAATTTAAAAAATGTTAAAGCAATAAAAAACCACGTAAATAAAATTTGTGATACAAATTGAAATAATAAAATTACACGTATATTATTTATTTACAGAGAAATACCCCGGGGGACAGGACCCCCCCCCCTCCGAGTAGACATTATTACACGTTGTAAATATTTATGTATTTATATAATATAAAAACAAAATAATGTTACGCGCTTTTTGATCTTAGCTCGAGACAGGATATCTTTTTCTCATTTTTACCTTATTTGTGTTTCGCATCACTGCCGCGAAGTTGCAGACAAAATAGATATACAATTTCTGCATAAAAATACATGGATACGATTTATTGATCAAACGTACTCTTGCACGCGTGAGAAGACTTACTTATTTTTTGCGCGCGAGATATTAGTAAACGGAGAGAACGTTAATTATTCTGAAAAATCTAAACGCGGGGATATTCGAGAAAGCCGTTCTCTCTTCCCGAAAGAATGGCAGATCAGATGGAATACATAATACCGCCGTGGGAAATCGAGGCCTTCGTGCAAAGCTTGAATGTTTCAGACTTGGAGAACATCGGTACCAAAAAGTAAATTCGCACTTTCGCATATTTTCTTGTCATTCGGTACAATTTAGAAATCAATGTGAAAACGTACGAGTATCTTTCAGCTGGCTGGAGTTCCATAAGAAACTGGCGTTGCTAAACCAGCAGAGTGTGCTTGAGATAATTGGACTGCGCGAGGAGAGCGTCATGGAATGGTTTATCTCGTTAAAGAAAGTAAATAATTAGGAGCAACGATTTGTAAAATACAACGAGTGAAGCAATATTTGCATATATACATCGCAAGCAGAAGGAAAAGAGAGATAAATGTGCCGAAATACAATTTTTAATAGTTATAAATTTAATAATACTTAATAACATATAATTATAATACGTAGAAAGAATAATTATAATTGTTCTTTCTATGTAAGCAAATCACGGGAAATTATATTTCAGCACAATTATCTCTGTTACGATATCAGTTCTTTGAATCGAGCTGTTTTTAGATTCCTATTCTTGTCTACGAAGCTATACAAATCGACATATGGAAGCATAAGGTGTTTCCGCTTCTGATTGATCTCAATGACGAGCCGACAAATACATTCATGTTGTACAGTGTACTTTATCACGAAGTTATCGTGGTTTCGTTATTGGAAAATATATTATTTCATTGCGAAGGTGCGCAAACGGTGGACGACATGGTGATCGATCTCATCGATTACACCGTTCAACGTGTAACGACGCTCCTTGATGGAAAAACCATAGAAATATATGAGAAATCTGAAATCAAAGACGCCAAGTAAGATATTATTCTGTTTTAACTGCAGATACAGCAGATTGTAAAATAAACTTGGCAGAGATGCGTATTTGTATTATTTATGCACATATTACAGTGTACATTAAAAATTTTTATGAATACCGAATTTGTTGATCACGCATACTTTCCGCCAGTTCTTGTTTGGAAGAAATAGTGGAGAAGCAGAAGGCATTCGAGTTCGACATTGGGATGCGGTGTATCTCGATTCTTCACTATCTAATTGAAATTTTGGATAGCTTACCCCTTTGCGCAGTTTCGCGTATGCTGGCGATCCACGACATTCCGTACTTGTTGGCGCAGCTGATAGAAAGTCAACCGTGGAAGAAACAAAATGAGGATGGTAATAACATCCATTTTCCGTTTATAGCGTGTCCTAACGAAATATGACGATAAATAGCTGAGTTGTCATTAATCTTCGTGCAGGTGAGGCGATGACGTATGAAGCCAGCTGGAGGAAAATTAAGGCGAATGAAATTGGAAAAATGAATAAGAGAGAGGGACAGGTATGGTTCGGTTTGCGAGAATTACTTCTTAATCCGAAATGTTCTCCGTACTATGAAATCACAGAGCACAGGTTGTCCCAGCTATCAAAGGTACTAATTATCATCTCGATACTCATGTCGATAATTATATCATAAATATAATTTACGATTTTAAGTAGAATTTTTAATTCTATGTCTTAGTTGCAAAGACATTTGCATGAAGATGTACTCGATCAAATCGCTCCTTTAATAGAACTTAAGAGATGGTTATCCTACTTAAACATATCGCCGGCGATGCCATCCTCAGACTCAACCTGCCCGGTTCGTGTGGAAGTTATACCGCAGGTACATTCGTTATTTCTTATTCTTTTGTTGTGTGTGTGATTATCAATTATACAAGATTAAATACATTAAATATAGATAAAGTCAACTATTTTGGAAAAATATCATAAAAAGTGGAAGAAATTGGCTAGGCATCAGTCCAAATACCTATTTACAACGGATACGAGTTACATCAAAGATGCTGCGCAAATTTTAAGCGACGTCTACGATTTGGAGAAGTTAGATCGTATAGAAGCGAAAAAGTGTTCGTTATGTCATGAACCGTCTAAGAAACGATGTTCCAGATGCAAGGAAGCTTGGTATTGCAGCAGGTATATGAGAAATACTTTGAGGATTTACTAAGAAGTTACGTTAAACGCATTCAAGAGTAACATAGTGTTGATAATTCTTTTTATTGTAGAGAATGTCAAGTGAAAGATTGGGAAAATCACAAGAATATTTGCAATATGACAACGGAAACTAAACAATGATAACATAGAGTCTTCACTACTAAGAATATATGTATTCATCTATATAAAATATATCTCTTTATATGTTCTCTTTTAAATTATGTAATATTATAATCATGGACATAAAGGTTGCAACACTTTTCAGTGAGGATAATCTCAATTTTTGCGCATTTTGAAATTTATTAGGGAAAAAATTGTTGCAATATTTATACTTATATATATCTTAACGGAAATTCTAAGAAAGAAATTTCAGAAACAAATGTATCATATTTTAGTTTATGTCAAATATTTTATTAAAAGATGTTAATGTACAGCGCTTTGTTTAAGATATTCCATTAGAACGTCCTTAGCTGGTGTGTCTTCACCAAAATCCTAAAAGCAATGAACGCTTACTCAATAATGGAATAACAATGACAGAGAAGAAAACGTTAACAAAAATTATATCAGCAAGGCATAATAACAGCATGGTCTGTTTATTTTATGGGTTCTACTCAGTAGAGGGAGCCCAATTATCATCATATGTGCGATGTTTTATAATTATCTCTTTAATATGCTGTTAATTACAACAAATTTTACGAGAAAGGAGAACAAAAAAGTTTTAAAGTTCCAATATAGCCTACCTTTATGACGACGCACGAGCAGCCAACAACTTTGCGCGCTTTGCCTGCGCTATCAATTTTACACAAGCCAGCCCATTCACCTAACTTTTTGTTATTGTCTACTTTTATCAGCGGAATTTGATGTTCATTGCATAATGCTTGAACCAATTTCTTGTACATCGGTTCGTCGCAATTATCTGCCAAGATGCAGAGCATGGCTTGCCTCCTGGAATACAAAAGACCCATCATTAAAACGATTGGTTTTTAACATTTATGACATATTTGTCTTGTGTGTTAGAGCAGAAAGGTGCAGACAACAGGATGTATCAATCAGATTCATTTCAAAGGAAAAAGCTCCTGTTTCCCACCATACATACATCTAATTATAATTCTATTATAATCGATCTTCATATTTCTGTAACTTACTTGTCTAAAGCTTTAGCAGCTTCATGGAGCCCATGCACAACGCCGTCGTGAATAAGAGAGTTCTTTAGAACTTCTTGCAGCGCAGTATTAACGTCCATATTACCACCCGCTGTCATCGCGGATGGCACATCGTCGCTATAAATAAATAATTTTATATTGAATGTGACAATATTATTCAAAGCTCGTTTTATCAATACATGAATATACATATATTGTTTTATTATCCCCATTTGTTAACTGTCATAGACCATGCATATATTTTTTTACATGCTTGAAAAATTTTTCTATTGATATTTCTCAATAATGAAAGTTTACCCAATTATTATACAATGTAAGTGCATTTACTACACGTGAAACTTTTTTCCCTGTTACTAAACATTTCCTGCGAGTCCGTGCAGCTTTGTGCACTCGTGATTTCGTTAATCTACCAAATCTAGTCGCGCAACAAACGGGGAAGGCATGGAGAAGCTGAAGGCACCGTAGTATACTCACTTTTCCACGTCAGACATGTTTGAGCGAGCCGGAGAGCTGGAAATAAATATGAGACGTTATTATTCTCGCTCTAGGAAACACATTCCCGCGTTTTCGCGGGCAAGATACGTGACGATCGTAACGTAACGAATGGATTTTAATCGCTAGCATCCAGCGTGGTCCGGTTTACCTTTTCTGGCAGAGCGAAGAGGAGTTATCGAGCACCGGGGGATCTGAGCATGCGCTACCACGGGCGACGCCACGCGCGTTTTCGACTGGCCGACATGTTGGCACGTGGAGACATCTACGGCATCCGGCCCGAGATGGTAAAGTTACCGACGATTGGTCGAAACTGTCGAAAGCGTGTCGCGCTTTCTATCGACGGTCTTTAGAGTTACGTGTTCGCGCCAACGGTGATAAACACACGAATATTTCGGATCGCGTCGAGCCGAATTGCATCCTCCAAAACGGTATTATTAATCACAATTTAGCGCCGTTTAGAATTGCTTCGTTGCTTACGGCATGCCTTCTCGTGATTGCGTAATCATAAGTGATTATTTGCAGATAGATAATCGCAGGGAGTGTCGAATTAAGATTTGCGCCAGGCCAGATGACATACGTTTTGTTTACCATTTCTACGAGCAGTCAAACTAGCGATGCCTCGACGTCTTTATTTTTAATCGGTTTACACAATGTGAGAGACTTTTATTTTCTACATTATATTTATTAGATAGAAAGTCGTGTTTACAAAATATACATTGCGAGTATACGATTCTATAAAAGTATTATAGTTAATAACGAGTTAGTATAGAATCTACTAAGATATAGTAGATCCTACAAGAGTAGTAGTCGTGATAACGAGGAAATAAGAATGTGCTGTATTGCTTCGTGTATGTATATTTACAGGTTTGCACATCTCGGAGCATGATTGTGAAAGAATACGGAGGGAATCCCAATGATTGCCACACTTTAAACGTCTGAAATATTTCACGTTAGTATACTATTATCATCAATAGTCATTATGTATGTACAGTTCATCCCTACGACGTGTCGATTGCCAATGAGAACTGAGACGAAATTAACTGTATTATTCTAACATTCCTCAGCTAGAAATGATTAGATTCGAATCATTGATATCACTGTCAATCATTACTGGTTAATATTTTTGTCATCTTTGATCTCATTATAACGGTATTTATGTTCATTGCTCAATCGTGAATATTTTTGTAAGATTTCTATTGTCTTTCAGGCAATAAAAATCTTATATAATATATCTAGTCATTTCTGAGTTCAAAATATGAAAAAATAGTGGCAATATGTCTAAGATAAGAATGAAAGAGAGAGGAGAAGGAATCAAAAGAGCTATCATCCACTCAAGTTGACATCGGCCAACATAATCTTATATCTAACAATGATTGAAGACAATGTTATTTCGGTGGTGAATATCGATATGACCAATAGTGCGGTGGTGGCAGTGGTGGCGGCGGCTGCTGCTGATTGGAAGGCGACGGTTCCGTTTGTAATGAGGACGATACGGAGTGCTGAGCAGATCCCACTGGATATAAGCGATGAGTCTGATGATGAGGATGACAGCTCGTATTTGTTACACGCGACGACGTTGATGCTTCCAACATGATGCCGGCTTGCGACTGACAAGCCATTCTCAAACCGTGAAAATCGAACTTGTAAGCGTAACGTTTACCATGAACTTTCGTCATTATATTCTTGTCGTAGTAATATCTGCGAAATAACAAATGTTCTTTCTCTTAACAGCGCTGCGTAGCATGTGGAAAAGCACGTTTCAAAGCGGTCAAAATTTTTGAATCTACAAGAATCTTGAGAGAGATCTGGTGAAGATGAGATCTATGAGATATGTGGAAGAGGAAAGACAGGTGAACGATATGATATGTACGATTGTGTCATATATCTGTTTATGACATTACCTCAACGCGCGTGACAGCTTGTCGTAATTCATGTTAGGCTTGCTCTTGCGCTCGCCCCAACGACGCGCGACCTCGTCCGGATCGGTGAGCTTGAATTCCCCGTTCGAGCCCTCCCACGCGATACAGGACGAGTTAGACGAATCCGAGAGCAGTTCCAGCAGGAATTGCCAGAGCTGAACCTGTCCGCCTCCGACCGCCCCCGAGGCACTGGCTCCAGCCGTTGATCCAATCAGCGAGCAAGTCCGTTGTAGGAGGCTGAACCTATCTGCGAGCAGAAAACGGAACACGCATGCACCAAACCCCGTTCTCGAGGCATTCTTGAGATCGAGTCGTTTAGACCGTGAGAGACAGAACGATGGATCGCCGGCTTTCCCCAGTACACTTGTCTTCTCGTTCTGACTGACACGGATTTTTATCCTGTATTTCCGTATTGTCCACGTAAATATTCCGTCATGTTTACAAGATCCGAGAAAGATTTACGATGATTATCGGTTTAGATTTTCTTACGAGAGTATATGAGAACCCGAGCAATTATTTCAATATCTTTTCTTACGAGAGTATTTGAGAACCCGAGCAATTATTCCAATATCCTTTCTCTACACTAAAGTTTTATTATATATAATATTCTATTTTTTACAGTCTTAATAGCTATTGTATTCGTTACGCGCAAATGATTTTTTTTTCTGCATTGAACGCGTTGCAACGTTACCCGTAAATACAGAGCGACGAGGATGATATGCTTGCGACAGTATTTTCAAAAATTTAATTTCTTGTCTTTCTGAATTTACCATTATAAAAAATCGCAGCGGCCGAAGGGTGCAATCTGGTGTCCTGCTGAAGATGTAAAGGATGCGTCTGAATTCTCCACATTACGCGCCGAATTAAACTATTTTAGCCTAATCCTGTGCGCTTTCGGAAACCGATAAACGACAAGCCTATCATCTCTGAAGAGTTATTCCGCGCATTGAGGATTCGTTTTCTTGCGTTTTCAGCATGACGATCATCTTGCAGTCTTAATGTTTATCGCGATTTTACATCTTTTTGATTTGAAAAGAGAAAGAGCATGCATCGTTATGGATTTCTCGTGTCGGCCGAATAATAATAGAAACTAATTTTACAGGGGCTCGGACGGTCACACGAGCGAACGTAGCACGAACAGCTTCATCGCGAACCAACTGTCTCGCAAAATAATGGATACAAATCAGGGAATATCAATTGAGATTCATTTCACTGATATCGATGACGTTCTACACATCTCAGACAAGTACACCCACGCACGCCACAATGCAACATCAATCGTCAAACGAAAGGTAAATGCATTTGGAATAAAACCCCGCCAGTCAGTGGGCAGAGAGCGACTGAGCGACCTTTGCCCCTGGTTATTTCAGCCCTTCGCGCACCCCACTCTTGGTCTTGGTAAGAACGGAATACCTTTACACCCCCTCTTCTGACGTACTGCGCTTTAGAGTACTTACCTATAGTTGTCGTCTCTTTTTCTCTTTCGAAATTTACTCAAGTATCTTTTCGAGATCTCGAGTGAGACGGCCAAAGTTAAATAAATTTATTCGAAATTTCTTCTCTCGTAAATGGGTCTCTCAAGCGCTTGTTCGGAGCAATCGTTTCTTTTTAGATCACATTTCTGCAAAAACTTGAATATACGTCGTCTGTTTAAAAATTTTCTGAACTTTTATAATATATCGCCAACATGTCACGCTGATAAATGCGATAAGCGGTGCTGTCTATGGCTGCGGTCCACTTGACGCTACAAATGCTTTGAAGTATTCCTCTTCTCTTTTCTACCAATGAAGACAGAAGGAGAAGAAGAACGTTTCAAAGCATTTGTAGCGTCAAGTGGACCGCAGACTATTACAGCAGCGGTCTTAATAAATAATCTCCCGTTTATCGCGTCTTTCTGTTGTGATTAGTTATCGTACTGTATAGCTTTTTTTGTATATGAGCTTGTCTGTGTTTTGCAATTTTTAAAATGACTGAGTTTCACACACACACGCACGAGCAGCTTATTAACAAATAGTGAATCGGTAGTATTATCTTGAGGTGTTGTGTGAAACGTCTACGAAAGAATGTCAGGAGAAAAAGGTCCGAGATATTTGTGGAGAAACATCCGGAGTCCTCCATCGCGATAACGCGTCAATGCATTAATACTGATTTATGAGTTTTGCACTAAAACGAAGAAACTTGTGCCTCCCAAAGAAATTTCTCTCGATGTAGCATGATAATTAATCACAATAGCAAGACGTGGTAATTGTGTGGACGCGCTATTGTAAAAAAATTGGAAAATTTTTGAATAGATTACGTACATTCGTATTATTATTTTATATTATTTCATCTGACTTACGGAGACGTAAACTAAAAGTGTACAATATATGCTCGCCCCTCTTTCGTCCGATACAGAACACAAAAAAAAAACTTTAAAGTCCTTTTGTACATTTTTATGAAAATGATCTAGCACAGAACTCTCTGTTGAAGTGATTGTTCTTTATAGACGTCGGTGCTTATGTTATAATTATAAAAGAAGTTTTAATGGAGATTCTCATATTAAATATTATCGCATCTGTTATTGTCTATACTAGTTGAGTCAACTTAGAAAATATTTATATTTTCCAGTCTCTGTAACATTAATGAACAATGGTGTGCATTGCCAAGAATTACGTTGCATTTCAGACTAATCGACAAGAATAGAAAGATACGGAAACGTGGTGCGAAATTTGAATTTTAACAAAGGACTGTAACGATATAAAAAGATTCGTATATACATACAACGCTTTCATATATTACAGATGCGCCAACTCGACTATGATACGCAAAAGAAAAAAAGAGAGGAAGGGAGAATGTGAAAAATTTTATTTTACTATTCGACTGTTGTGCTAAAGATGACATAAAGTGCTCGAAGGGCAGGCTCGAATGGATTCATTCGAGGATATCGTGGATGCACATATTTTACACGTGTGCATGTATGCTTAGATACAAAGTGCATGCCGCACACACAAGGCGAGAAGTTTAAGCGACGTGTGACGGAGATGCGACGCGTAAAATTATCCCGTATACATTCAAGATCCAGAGAACGTTTGCCGCTCATCACGAAAACAATATAGTCGCGCCCCGCGGCGAGCTTACCACCCCCGAGCCCGTTAGAGCCTGCCCCCGGAGGAGAGCTGAAAGAGGGGTAAAAGCGGTCGCGCGGCAAGCTCGTAACCCCTCGTGGCACCACCTTTCCGCTGCCCTAAACACTCGATGGTTTATTCATGAGGACTCTCTCACCGCGATAACACTGATTCGTTTAATAAACGGCTGCTGCCGGGGCGAGATGGGCCGACGCACACATTGAAAACGAGAGAGAAAGGGAGGCAGAGAAGGAGGGAAGGAGAGAGAGAGAGAGAGAGAGAAAGAGAGCTGCAACGTTATTCAAACGGACGATATATCTCGGAGGCTTACGCTGCCACAGTTCGGTACCTCTCACTTTTCGCTTTTCTTCCTCTACGTCCGAGGAGATGGTGCTCGAAAGTGTATTCCGTATACGAAAAAGAGGGACGAATAGAGCATAGACAAAGGGAAATTACGGTTCTTTTTTTCACCTCGTTTTCTCGTGCTTTATTGTGACTCTACGCAGTCGAGACCAATTCTAATATAATGTATTATACTGTCTATATTGTATTACTCTTGTTACTGCTAAACATGATTATATAAAATGTTTGTTTAAATACCACACTCCACCCTCGTAGAAATCTCTTTTCGTATGAAATGAAATTTGGCTCGATCTTGGTAGGCTGTTCTCTTTTATTCCTCGGGTTATCGCTTTCTTACTCAATCGCCTCGATTTTATACAAAATGTTCGGACGTTTCGGCACATATGTTGCTTTTTTCCCTCGGGTCATGCGAGCGACAGAGGTGATGAAAGAAAGTCTGGGGCGAAACTATCCGTTCGACGATACCGATATTTACTTTCCTGCCGGACCGCGTTTATCTGTAATAGATCGCCGCCATCGTTAAAGCTTTAGATAAGCTCCAGTTGGACCAGAATCGGCCCTTGGGGAACGGTTAGCCTTTTCCGGTCACTCTCCATTCAATCGTGACAGGTCCAAGACCAAATGCCTATTAAGCTTTCCTAAAAGCTTTACCATTTAGATTTATAGCGTGAATCGCTTTGGATTTATGTTTGCAATTAATATACGTAAACGCGAAGATGTTATTATCGCCAAGAGAAAAAATGTTATTACGACCTGTTTTAAGCGTACATTATACCTAGAAGTAAGTGAGGAATAGATAACACAGTGGCAGATCTTGAAAACTATATTCTGGTAAAATTTATTAAGGACTTATTTAATTTTAAAAGACTAAACTATATCCTGTCATTTTTAGATGAAGTAATTGATATATCAAAATTCAGATATTAGAAGAATCCAAAATCCGAATCAGAAATGGAATATGAATAATTTTATCTATCCAAAGTAACTTTTTTTTTAATTATTAGGACTATTCCGATGACCCAAATAGCCCAACGAGCCAAATTTTTATTTTTCAGAAAACCTGAATTTATTTCGAACATCTTTTAAATTTAAATGTAAATTTGGACCTGGGTTCAAATTACTGACATATTAATCTTATTAATCATAATCTTTAATAGTATCCGTAATAAGAAAATAGTGATTTTGAGCTTAGACTCACCAGTTTTCTCATTATTTTCGTTTTCTTGCAGTAAACCCGGAGTACGCACGCCAGTGGCTTGTAGATGAAGATGAGCCAAATGTTTCGCTAAGATACTACCTGCCGTTCCGCCGATATCCTGCCAGTCTTGTAGCGTTAATCGCAACAATTCCTCGCCGGTCGACGGGAGTATCGCTGCGATGGATCCTGATCTAATAGCGAATGTCCGACCGCACCATAGAAGCCATTCATTTATGTGACTCGAGTTCCACTTGGACGGATCTGAAAGACGAGGATCCGAAATTATCGGGATTTCCCATACTTTCACACATCGTTCGCCGATTAGATATTTACCGGACGGCAACATAATTTGCTCAGATTCGGGACGATTATCGGGATCTTCATCGTTGTTTTTCTCGTCGTTTTCCGACGCGATTTTGTGTTCCACGGTTTCAATATTGGGTATTCCATGCACCTGCGAATGCATCGCACGAGTTTGTCTGCAGCTCGTGGACACTTGTATTTTCTTATCACTACCCCTCTTCGATTTCGATTTCGATCCCGAATTTGATTCAGAGTCCGTCATTTCAGATGGTATCTGATGCACGGTGTCCGAATCTTGAGAAATGTCCACACGTCGACGAAGGAATTCACGATTTTTCTTCGTGAATCGATCATTTATCGTCGCCATCTCGCATCGAGTAACGTTGAGCATTCTCACCTAAATTTCGGCGTCGAAACGTGGTTTCCAGCAAAATTACATTTTGTAAGTCCGGCGAGATGTCTTCGCCGAGATTAGGCTCGAATTAGCGCCTTAATCGACTGATCGATGCTCGTGTTCATTTTCACATTGCACTTAATCACTTTAAATACTATAAATATATGATATATAGATTCACCGTAACTTTCTTCTTCCACACATTTTGGCTACGAATATTTAAGTAATTATTTGATCGCACGATCGATCGTTCAATTATTTTTCTCGAAACGTAAAAAAACTTAATCGCCGTGGTACAACACATCGCGTAATCACGTCGCAAGACGATGCTTCGATCTAGTCGTTGTCGACCTGAATGAAACGAAATCGGTCGGGCGGGAGGAGGCGAACTACGGCCGAACCAGAGACTCGATTGGCGAAATATGGATTCCCAGAAGAGCGGTACACTCAGCCGCTCTCGCTCGGCCAAGTTGCTCCGAGCGGGCTCCGTGCATCGTCGACCGCTGAATCACGCTTCACCGCTGTGAATGCTGTGATTGCTCATCTTTACTCATGTCCCTTTTTTCGTTTTTGTCAATTCCCACGGACGGTGCGATCCCGCTTCCTGGCGTTAATCAAGTATGAATTATTTAACTTTCTTTATTTTTTTTAATTTATCAAATTGTTGCGTTACAGAGAGGATGCAGAGTTTATCTCGCGATATCTGAAAATATTCCTTAAAGCAATAAGCTTTAAGGTCTATTGTACGTTTGCGCGAAGATCTTTTTTGTTATAAATTGTTATAAATTATAGATCCCCCGTTTTCCTGTTCTACCTCTGTTAGGAAAGAACTCTGTAGAATTTCCGCACGTTTGCTTTTTGCTTTCAGTGCGAGTTACAGATGTGCGTAGATTTTTTTGTCGACCTGAATGAGACCTAGATCTGCGTGTTAATCATACTTGAAAATATATATTTAATGTCGCATCCTGTGCCAGCCGGTTTTTTGTCATGCTATGACTTGAACATTTCCGAGAACATTTTTATGTCCTTCCTTATCTATGATGCAATATACAATCCGAGTTTTACAATAGATCCATTGGTCACTTTAACGTGACATATTAAAACGATATATAAACATAATTTTATTTTTTTACACGTAATGTTCTTGTGGAAGATATTTTAAACGGAAAATTATAAAATTTCTCACTTGTATAATTTTGTATATAGATAAGAAAGCACACCATTATAATCATCCGTCGATATTGGACAAAGCGATATTTTCGAGAACGTTAGATAAAAATTTTAAAAGAAATTTTATACAATGTTTGAGATTCTTTAAACTATATGTAGAAACTTTTCTCAGAAGAACAAGGATCTTTGATTGGTGATGCTTTATTAAACATTTTATGAGCAGCCATCGTTATCATTTGTTACAATTTCTTAACGTAATGCTAAATTGGAAATATCTTAAGTCTACTAGTTTCTTACATCGTTTTAGATATTTTTTTGTAGGATGAGTACGAAATAATTATTAAAATCGATTAATAACAGACAATCACAAAAGAATAGGACATTATAAAATTAAATTTTATATATATATATATATATATATATATATATATATATATATATATATATCATTAGGATTTGTATAGTCGACGGTTTGATCCAGACACTCATCCTATATATTTGCGTCGGTTTTAATTGAAGTTGATTGAGAAAAATTTGAGGATTGGGAGTGAAGGAGTATAAGATGGATGATATAATTCGCTTTGGAAGCCCATAGTTCAAGATTTTATACATAATTGTTGTTTATTTGTGGTATTATAGATACATGCCTTTTTACGATTTAGAAAATTGTATCTTGTGCCTGGACACCTTACATAAGACAGGATTAATCTAGACATCACAGAGAGTGACCGACACAAGAAAGTGTAACAAAATAATGTCTTTGTGACACGAAGTACAATTAAATTGTACACATTATTACATATTATGTGTGTCATTACATCATATATTAGGTCAGATTTTTTTTTTACTTATATTCATATTCTCTACTGATTTATGAAATTGTGTATAAAGTGACCACATAAAGCAAAGACGAATAAAAAGTTAGAAAGTTGCTGGCGTTGTTATCGTTTCTTTATTTGATGTATATATAAGAAATGCGAATTATTTTTGTGAATTATGAAACTGTAGGAATATATCAAGCACTTTCAAGTAGTCATAGTTTAAAGGCTTAACGTATTAACAATCGCAATCTTACGCGATACTCGATGCAAGGAATTGGAACGTTTTTCTCGCCTCTCGTCGTCGTATCTTAATATATTTTTAACGACTAGAGTAAACATACATATAATCATCTACAGATAATAAAACTAAACTAATACATTATTGTCTTTTCTTAGCAGCTTTTACAGCCTTTGATTTTTGTTTTTCTCCTCCAGAAAGAAAAGACGTTATTACTTCAGACATTTCTGGCATATTATAGATAGTGAGATTATTTAATTGCTCCATTTCCTACAAAATGCATTTAGTTTATGACTTTGTCAAGGACTAGAATATATAAACTACGTGGTAAATCGTATACTAATTTATGTTAGACGATGTGAGTGTATCTTACAGTATTATCTTTCATTTATTTATAGATATTAGAAAAAAAAAACCCTCCTAGTCTTTAGGATCACTCATAATTTTTGGCCGGTCTTTAGGTCTTCTTACCTTCCTAGTTTCAGGATCATTCATAATTTTTGGCAGAATCATGATCAGTATAAGTGGCAGAACCATCATTAAAACCTGAGGAGAATGGAAAAGAAATATTACGACTTTAGCAAAGGAAGGGAGCAAATCAAAGCACATGCATTGTCAACGCTTCGTCCAAAGCTCTATTACCATGGGATTGAACAGGAAGTCTGTTAACCGCCACTGCTCTCTAACTTGGAAATATCGGAACGGTGCTAGAGGCCTCATTTTCAACGGGTAAGGTACTTGAATCACTTGCGACGTCTGTATCAAATTGACCTTTCGAGCTCGGAATTTCCCTTTAGAATTGATCTCGACCCTGACTGGCTCATAAACGTAATTCGGATTCACCACTTCGACCATGTACGACCCAGACGGGACGTTCGAGATTATAAACGTGCCATCTTCCCTGAAATCAAACATGCTCGTTTAACATATATAGCGCGTCCGTGCGCGTGAATTTCGTTCCAAGTTCGTACCGCACCGAATGCGCATAGCTACATTACCTCAGAAAGCCGTAGTGTTCACCTCCGTTTGCCATCACATGCGTCATGAGCTGCCACCCAGTGGAAGCAGCGTTGTCCCAGGGGAACACCTTCCCCTCGATCACAAACAAATCCGTGGACGCGTCTTCCTCATGCTCCGCTATTACGTATCGCTCGCATAGGTTCGCGAGAACGACGAGCAAACACAGAATTCCCCTCATGACGAATACGAGCGAACAATCATTAACCTCTCTTGCCTGTGTTATCCACCATTATCCACCTGCGACCGAATTGTCATGCGCTTTATCAATCCTTGCGCACCTAGCCACCTGGACACTGCGATGCATATGACACCTGTATATCCTAGAAAACACCAGTGTGCTTTATATATCAGAGAAAGGTTTTTCTCTGCAATGATAACAGTTATCACTTGATGGATAATCAAACCCAAATGATAATAAAATTACATTTTAAATTGAAATATTATCAGGCCTATGCGTACATACATGTTTATAAAACAATAGAATAATAATAAATCATAAGATTAGTATTATATTACGGAGCTACCTAAATTTTAATAGTCACGCAAACTTCTATACGAACCGACTGTGGATAGGATATAGCGTGTTACCCGTTGGAAATATTCGTGGACATGGCTACGTAGTTCAACGTCTACGTTCTGTACCAAGAGACGCCAGTGAAGTCAGTAGGGTTAGGTTATCATTGAAATATCTATAAACATTTTCTCCATAAATTTAGAAATGAAATTGGAGCGAGTTGTGAATAAATTGACAAAGTGGTACGACATATATCGATTTAATTTAAATATGTAGATACTCAGACCATTGAATGAATGTGATGGATTACGAGAAGATTGAATCTCAATGACAAGATTGTCATCTCATGATTGGGAAAAGTACGTATGTCTCTATTTAAAAGAGAGCCAATATGATAGAAATCACGGCAAAACTCGTTCGAGGTCCTGTATATTTTTCCGGGGAGATTATAGAATGTTTGGTCACGTTCACCAATCCCCCGAACCCAAATCATCAAATATCACAAAGCCACAGGTAAAGAATGATAATGCTAGCTGTAGGCAATGAACTTATTGTTCGTAACATCAATTGCTTTTCCACAGTGATTTATTCGAGAGTCTCGCATGGGCGAGTGCACAGGTCCATTGCCAGTGTACAATCAACAGCAAAATGGTCCTTTCAGAGAAAATAAATACTGCAGCTCGTTCAGTGGCAATTAACGCAAGTACGAATTTAGAAGAAACACCTTTAATCCTTTCTGCTTTATTTTTACTAATTGTGTCTACATTTATTACGACTTTGTTACAGATACTACCTTTGCGCCATGGCAGCAAGACAATGGACACGTAGTACTGAATACAAAGCCAAAGATCTTGTGTTGCGACTTAAGACTGTCACCTGGAGAAAGTAAGACCTGTAAGTTTTTTATTATTCTAATTAAATTTTAATATTTGGAATTGTGTTTTAAATATTTCTATTTAATAATTTTTCTTGTATATTTTGTGTTCTTTTAAGTTTACTAAATTCTTTTGTTAACAGATATTTATCGTGAGGCAATACCAAGTGACGCTCCACCTTCGTACAGAGGGCAGGCTGTGAAATATTCTTATAAGATTACAATTGGAACACAAAGAGTGAATACAGTTATAAAACTGCTGCGAGTACCGTTCAGGGTGCTTTCTTTAAGCGGTAATATTTTAAAGGATTTTTGATAGAAAAATGATAATACCTTTGTGTACATAAAGTCTGTATAATTTATATATTGCTTTACAGAATTGCCAGAAATAACAGCATGTAACGATAGCGTAGATCTGAGTCCGAACAATCCGTTTATGGAAACACAGAACAGGGAAACTCCACTAGATATCGCTCTACAAACGCTGCAGGTTATACGCTATTCTTTGTGTAATCCTGTAATCTTAAGAAGTACTTGTACTTAAAGTTGATTTAAAAATTTTATATAGTGCTAACATAACTGTGTAGTCTACAACGTTTCAGAATTTAACAGCCAGACGCAGTCCGAACTTTTACAACGTGACGAACGGCCGTGGGCGCGTGGTGCGGTTCTGCCTCTTCAAGAATTCCTACAAACTCGGCGAGGACATTGTCGGAACCTTCGATTTTTCGAACGCGACTGTATCCTGCGTTCAGGTGTCTGTGTCTTTACAGTCAGAGGAACACGTGTCCGAGGAGTACAAGCGAGGGAAGACCGCTACGCCGACCCTGATCAGCTACAACAAGCATCACGAGATGTGTCTCGGTCTCAAATATTCGCATCTGGTGCTACCGATACCCTTGCATGTCACACCGGATTTTACTACCGATTTGGTAACGCTCAAGTGGCGATTACATTTTGAGTTTGTCACAACGCCGAAATTGATGGACATGCCCGGTGAGAACACCATAAGCTGGCACGGACCTTCGACTCTGGATGTCGAAACGATGATTTGGGATCTTCCACTGCATATCCATCCAACCACTACTCCGCCGAACATGGCGCAACAGACGAAATACAACACCGTCATATAAGCATCATAACGTAGCATATATGCATGTTATTTAATCAGTGCACATAAAAGAAGCGATGTATCGGTACTTTTGGTGCAGGTGGAATCAACAGAAAATAACTTAAACTTACAGTCACATATTCTACGTTTCATGATTTTTATGTGGTAGGTATGCGATTATTGTTATTCCATGATGGTTTAGAAAATTTGTATTCTGTATGATAATTTATTATATATGAGGAAGATATATTTTCATATAATTATGTATATATAAATAAAAAATAATTATATGTAATAAAGGAGAAAAATGTTATAATAATTTGAGCACTTTTGTATCTATGATATATAAATTTTATAATAGCATCTTTGACTTTATAGCATTTATTTCTATTCGGAATGATGGTTTCTTCGGAGACTAATGACTTTGCAGAAATGATATATTACACAGCGACGAAGAAAAATAAACAGGCTACCTTAATCTCTATAAATAATGTACATTCTCTATAAATTTTTCTTTTTCATGATTCATGAGAATATTCTTTTTAACTGTACTTTTTTTACATTTTCCTGCGATCTTATCTTTGCTATTTTTCTCTCGAAAATTTAAGTGTTTACTGCTTGTTATTTATATGATTCTTAATATCTAAATGTTTTCGAAGTCAATAGATTTAAATCTGAGAAAAAAATTGCCAAGTTTAGAATAACTATTCTAATTCCTTCGTTCGTAAAAAGTCGCAGTTAATAAAAATAAACCCCGCAAACAATTGATAAATTAAAAAAAGATTGATAAAAGTTCAAAAATAGTTATAATGTTCTTGAAGTCAATTCAAATCTGAGGCAAAAATTGTTAAGTTTAGAATAACAATTCTAATTCCTTTGTTGAAGGTAAACATTTTGTATTTTGGACCATGAATGTTTATTCCTTCTAAAAGTATTTTGGACCATGAATGTTTATGCCTTCTAAAAGACAATTAACGTCTTGTTCTTAGAAATCCATAATATTACAAAATAAATTTTATCAACTTTTTTAATTCATTAATTTTTTACGAGGGCTCGTTCTCGAAGCGATGAGCTAGTGACGTGCTTTGTAAGAGAACTGTCGGTCCTCTTGATCAACCGGCAATCTCGGCTGCAGAGGCGGTATCAAAGTCGGCGGCGATGGGGTGGCGAAGGGCGCGTGGTAATCGTATCGGTAGTAAAGGGACTCCCATCGGGCTGCAGCCGGATGTTGCACCTCGAAAGACGTCGGCGGACCCGATGGGGCCGCGTAATAGCCGCTGGCACGATCGGGCATGCTTGGTACATAGCTGTACTGCGGCTCCAGCAGGCTCTGCAGATGCCTGATGTACGTGATGGCGTGGCGCAGCGACTCGATCTTGGAGAGCTTCTTGCCGGGCGGCTTGCATATCGGCAGCTTCGACCGCAACAGCTCAAATGCGCGGTTCATGTCGCGCATTCGGGTCCGTTCGCGATCGCAGGCAGACTTCTTGTAGTCTGAAATCGTTAATTACGTCGGGGTTAACGACTGTTCTTGCTCGCGCGCACTCGTCGTCGTCGTTGTCGGTGTATTGTCGCGCGACAACGACCTGCCCGAATGATGGAACGAATCGGTTCGGGTGTTTTTCCAGGACGGACAAGCTAAAATCGAACTTTTTAGAAAAGCACTTTAGCTTTATGTAGAGATGCTGATATATTACATGTAAAAATTTCGCATTTAAGGCGAAGGAATTTGACTTTCGAAGGAATTTGATGATTTTAGTCATCCTAGCTAGCAGAAAGTTTTAAAAAACGTCTTAAAGACATCACAAAGATATTTAAAAGACATAATTTTTCAGATGTCTTTTAAGCGTTTTTAAGACGATTTTTTAGAAGCTTCTGCTAGCTGTGATATTTATATATTTTTTGCGAATAAGGCACATTCTTTTCCTAATTTGTGTATGGTATATAAAAGAGAATAATCTTTTTCCTACAAAATAATTTTTGTTTATTTGTTTTGTGCTGAATTACTAAGACATAAAACAATACTGTAACATTTTGTATAAAATTGTATGAGAAGTTATTTACGGAATCATCTATCTTGTAATTCGCGAGACATTCCTGTTGCAAAAACAAAAAAAGGGCCAATATGTCTAATAAAAATGAATATAATATTTAGATATTTATCTTATAAAAATGTCAAAAGAAGAAACAAATTGTAAAATAAAATTGAGAAAAATTTTTACCAGTAATCTCTTTTAAATAAAAGCAAATTTTGAAACGGGGTCGGGAGAAATATTTAAGAATGACGAACATCAAAGCTAGTCGCAAAGGTTAGAGTTAAAATTATATATATCTAATTTAATATATGTTAATTATAATATAATTTATATATATTAAATATATATAAAAATAAAAGGAATCTTTGTGCAAATATTTTTTCGTAACATGAACTTATAACTTCTCGTGGCTTGTATATCTATTAATTTCGTATAGTCTTGTTTATTTATTTGTAATTTATACCTAAGCTTATCCTCCTACAGCGTGCGTTGCGAAAAAAATCAAGCAATAATTAAGATCATGTGGAAGTAATTAAGATCACGATCTATCTCAAGATAACTGTTTATAGATATTACCGGTTTTATTACAATTGACGCAAAATGAATTGTATTATTCATCTCTCATTGTCAGATGTTCAAACAGCGTTAATCGAGATGTGCTGAATTAATTTATTTCGCGGAAATCAATGTTAGCATGACGTTCCATTTGGATTATATGCGCATATTACGTAGCCGCAGCTACATGTACAATTCCGCGTAAAAAGTCTGTGTAATAGTACAGAGTAATCTAATTATATTTTATTTTATTTATTCTATGTATTTTAACGTCCAAGAGATGTTGCGTGATTCGCGTAAAATACACAGACTAATAATAAAATAAAAATGTAAGATAAAACGTGTAAAAAGATATGTAGAGTGCATGTAAAACAGCTGTAAAATAATGCTCTTTACTGAAAGGAATGCGACTGAACGACGCGCAGTATTTTCGATTGCCTTTGCCGCACACGCGTAAGAGGATGATGGTGATACGTGTGATGCCTCAAGGCGCGGACACGAATTATTTTCACGTGGTTCAGGATTCGACTATGAGCTCGAATACTGGACTTGGAACAAAGATCCGATATCACGGCAAGACATTGGAATCGAAGCAGAGCTCGGTCGAAATAGCGCTTGTGACGTGCAGCGGCTTCGAAGGCGTTGATCAAAGTAAGAAGTAAGAAGGTATAAAGCATCTCTCTCGCGATCATTCAATAAATCCGAACATCAAATAGAAGAATAATTATCAAATCGATCAAATCAAGTATATGCTATTACGATATTTTATTAATTTAGTGAATAAAAAAGCTGTCTATAGGTTACAATAAATGAAAAAACTTTTATCATTAATTTTATAAACAAAAACTTGTTTCGAAAATTAATAATAAAATTTATCTTATCTACTTGCCTTTCAAACTTACTCAAAAATGAGCATAAATTTATGAATTGACATTGTATATTAATTTTATAAGCTGATGTACAAGATAAATTATACAGTTGATAAAATGTATAACATGTCCCTATTCCGAAGATAAGGAGAGCCGTCAGGACATTTGCGTAGAAACCGAAACTATCGGGCTTCTCAACGATCCATCATCTCTAACGCGGCAGGAAGATGTTCCATCGATCGTTCAGGACGATTCTGAGAAATTTGCGGAATTTCCGCATGCCGAGGATGATCGTCGGGAAACCGTGCAGAAGGTCGTGTGCAATTCGCAAGAATTGCGAAGGCAGGTGGAGCGCGGCTGCAAGAGCGTCGACCGGAAACGGAGCTGCGGCGATCGCGTCGTCGAGATCGAGGAGGAAGAAGAAGAGAAGTGCGGTAGTAGCTGGTGGAGGGACGGCGGCCAAACAATTCTGCAGTTTTTCGCCAAGATCCTGGGGAAACGCGGCGGAATAGGCGCCAGGGGACCGGCGGGCTACGTCTTACCTACCGGCAAGCAGCCTGGCAAGCGTGTCAAGCGTGTCTCAAGGGGCGGCAAAGGCCATAACGGATGCAGAAGAGACGTCGATAGGGGTATACGGCTGAAGCGAGTCGACAACGGCTACATTGCGAATCACGTATATAGGTATATGACGGTTTGGCGAGTATACTTGTTGTTTAAAAATTCTAGAAATGTCAGAATTTAAAACAAAATTTTAGCTAAAGTGAAATTCTGTAGTTTTAAAATATCAACTGTAAGTTAACCCAGCTAGTAGAAAGTTTCTAAAAGACGTCTTAAAGACATCAAAAGACGACATAATTTTTCAGGCATTTTTTAAGTGTTTTTTGAAGAGCGTAGACGTATTTTATAAGCTTCTACTAGCTGGGAAGTAGCATCGAAGGTGGTTGATTAATCAAAATATAAGTGTTGAACTTCAAACATTTAGAGGAGAGAAATTAGGTAGAGAAAAATTGTCAGTTGAAAGAAAAAGATCAAAGAAAAATTAATTTGAAGCTCGATATCGAGCATGATTCATTATTACAAGTTCATGCAAAAATGAAGTGCTATATACACGGCATGCATTTGAGACTTCCGCCCGATTTGCAAGCTTTAGAATTGATTACAAAAGTGCGAGAGTCATTATTTTTCTGACTGATTTGTACACGCGTTTTTTACATTATGTAAAATTGTCCGACGTAACGCGATACGCACGCACGTCTGCAAATAATTTCAAACGCGTTACGCGACGCATTGGTATATAAAAATGTGCCAGCGATGCCTAAAATCGAATGCAGCCGTGACGCGAAAATATCTTGTCCTTTTTTTTGAAATACGTGCGTACGTTCCGGCCGAATTGATATTCATGCACCATGTCGTACTCGCGCAGGGACGAGGGAAGCCGGCACGACGCCGTGACGGAAAATAAGCCGCGCGAGAAGCAGCAGCATCAGCAGCAGCAGCAGCAGCATCATCCCTCGATTCTCGTGCGACAGATACAGCGGACACGTGACAAAAATCTACGGGTCATGCTGCTGGAGCGGGAGCTGTGCACACGTTTGCCTAAAGCTGCCAGGAGGGACGCGCGTCTAACTGGGAACGGCGGTGTTAACGTCCGGCAATTAAGCAGCCCCCTCTGTTAATTCTCTCACTGTATAATAAAACTGGTACTTGGAAAGAGATTTACTTTCATGGATCATTTAGCTCGATCTTCTCACAAATGCGTCTTAACACGTTCGCTTTACGATTTACTTCAACGTTCAACGCTACATATATGACAGCCAGAATTTTGTAATTTCATGTGTCTAAAACAAATAAAGTTTACTAATTGGGGATGGCCTGTGGCGAGAAAATTTTGAACTCTAGCATGTGGTAACGTGAACGTATTAAGGGTATCATCTATGATAGATATATATGATCGCCAATCTATTCGCGCGGCATTCCTAAGGCACGTAGATTAGTTCAATCGTGGATGTGATCTCACCAGGCAACGAGCAATTCGACATTGCCGCACCTTTCTCAGTCTGCGACGGCTCCCGGTGCACCGACTTAATGTTGGTCTCGTGGAGCATCTCGAGATGCGGATGGCTGCCAATTATTTCCGGTTCCGGTACTCTAATCACGAGCACTCCCTCGGGATTCTGCTGGCCGCGCGTCTCGAAGCTCGTCTCTTGCCATCTGTCTCTCATGGCCTGCGGTCGTGTTGTTTCGTCTAATGGGAATGTGATATACGCACAGTTAATAACACGATTTCACACTTACCATTAATTATACTATTTACGTGTCAGAAACTAATCGAGCAATTATGTCATTGATAATATTTGGGGATATGTTTAGCTGATACGTAATAAGAATGAGTAACTTCCTTCGTATTTTGAAGTACAAGCTCAAGTACCTCGTATGCGTACCTGCCGCCAATCTTTGATTCACCGTTGATGCGGAACTCGGCGAGCTTGCCTTTTGTTGCTGTTGCTTTGAGTTCTCGTCTAAATCCAGTAACACCGGCGAACGCGCGTAATCTTCATCGTTGCTCTCGTTTTCGGACTGGAATGTAAATTCGCCTTTTTCTCTCATTCTTTTTCTCCTATATTTTTGTGCTGAGACTTTAAGTTTCTTAATGCGCTGACCTTCTCTTCGTATATTGTACGAAACAAATCGATGTAATCGCGACACGAGATAAATGCGACACTAAAATGTTTTTCAGGAATACAGCGTTGTAAAATAATCGTTTAATAGGTATTACAAATTACTGTTGGTTAAGTTGTTTTAACAGTGTATTTTAAATTAAAATACAAGCTATAAAAGACTGAAAAAATAAAGAAACATATATAAGCGATTCTCGCAAAATATATATATTATTTTGCGAGAAAAGACACGTTTCTCAAAATGCAAGATACATAAATGTAGAAAATTTTGATTCAAAATACGCAGTACGAAAGAATATTTTCCGTCACAAAAGTTTACATCGGTATTTGAGCCCGGATTCGTGCGCAAAGTAAATAAGTAAATAAGAAGATGACGGGGCTATCAGTTGCATTATTGGGCGATATTGCGGAGTTACATTTTTCGCGATAGTGTCGCATCGCACTTCGATTGCCTTTACCTCGTTCTTCGCCGGCTCGGCACGATATTCTTCCGAATTCTGCTCCATCCCGGACACCCGATCGAGCACAAATAGCACGTCTTCGTTAACCCTGATGTCACCCATCGACGTGCCGAAGAGAAACGTCGTGAAAAACTGACGACTTGGTCCTTCCCGACCAAGTATCGGAAAGCGTTTATCAAGAAGGTCTAGTCGGCTGGGTTTGTCCTCGGATAAGATGTGGATCAGCCACAGACAGTCGTTATTAATGTTAATTTTATCCGTTTATTAAGTATTCAGGTGTTCCGCGCCGGGGGTTCTCAATTTGTCGCAATCAGGTAAAGAGAGGAATGTATCGGAGTTCATATGGGCCCTGCCCAAAGTATCGCGATTATACTATTTTTAATAAAGTACTTGATTGTCATATAAGTAAAACGGAAAGCTAGAAAGTCATTATTAATATGACAATACAAGAAAACATGGACATTCGCGAAAATTGAATTTTCTGTAAATATAGCAAATAATCTTTATTTTTTGAAGTTTTGGAGTATATATCATAATAATGTTTATCTGTAGCTCTTGCATGAAATTATTTATATTATACGTTATTGTATAGAATTTGGTTACTTTGGAGCAACGATCGAAATTGGAGAACTCGTTAATCGTACCATACTTATTAATGCTCGCATAAAAAAAATATATAAAAAAAATGTTTCTACCTCCAAAAGGAATTAAATAGGTAGCAATGGCGTTAGATATGGGTGTCCGCACCTGGTGTATAATATTAGCATGCGTATGAGAGTCTCTGGGATGATCGGGATAAAAATGGGAGTACAAACATCAGAACATAATAGACGCCCGGTCGATGGAAATACTAATGAGGTGGAACGGTGCAAGTATAACAGATCGTGAAGAATGACGCACACGTGGGTGGAGAGATGCGACGGGAATTACGAATGCGAGGAGAAAAAAAATTTTGAAATTGCACTGTGCTTTCGTTCGGTTTGTAAAACGGATTCGCGAAGTCAGATATTGTATGTGTATATATTTTCAATTTCAAGTGATCGAAACTCTTGTAGTGACAATCTTTCTGTGGATATCTACATTTCGTGGATATCTACATCGCTGGCTGTATCCCCTGGAAATATTTCTGTAAAACAGCGAGGTTCTTTGTTCGCAGGTATTTTTCAATAGGTTGTCCATAAATAATTTTTATTAAAAAGTCGTCATATAGAAAGAAATTGCATGTGCTCCGACATTGTTCGTACTGAACGCATTTACACGCCTGCGAATGTATATATGCATCAACTATATTCGCGGTGTATTCTTTATATTCAAAACAGTCCTTTTCAAAATGCAAACTTTGTTTTATTTCCACTTTACCCGAATATCTTTGAACTCGCAAGTCGCGAGATTCTAGAAATAAACGACGATGTTGAAGAGGGTACATCCGACGCGTTCCGACGTGCATCTATATCTGAAAGAAAATGGCAATATAAATATAACGTTTATACTTTCTCGCGACGCGAAAATGTTTGACGGTCGTAACACAAATACACACGTGGTACTCGTGGTAGAGCGATTCAAACTGACAGATTATGATTACCGTAAGTCAACGAATAATCTTTCTTTCTGTATAAAAAACTTGTCAACGCCGAGCGTAATTCCTTGTTAAATGCAAAGTAAATCCAAGGATTAACGCAACTCGTGAGACTGTTTAAGAGACTTAGAATAGTGAAGGCAGCTCCTGCAAATTATAACACGTACAAAGTACAATGAGATAAGAATTAATAAATAATTTAATGCCCTAGAGATTCGAAAAATAAATACTGGGAAATTTCGTTTTCTACTCTCGCATATATATATTTACACATTTGCCTATAACAATATAAATTTATAAATTAAGCCAATAATATATAATAATAAATTAATATTGTTATAAGCGTTATGAATTGTGCAATCAATTAATTGTAATTTCATTAAAAAGATATTAATTGGAATTTTCGAATCGCTGAATATTATATAATGACCAATATCACTTTCTAATTAATAGTATTTTTAAATTATACTATTACAATTTGTTACTGCATTTGATAAGATATTTACCAGTGACAAATGACGAAGTGGAAGCTTTAGGGTCCCACGTTGCCCATAGCTCACACCCGATAAAAGGGGTATTGGTGATGATGTATAAACTAACTACAATGATCATTTGTTTTACAGTATTGATCATCGCCTTGGAGATAAGGGGATCTCGATTTCGTTGAAAAAAACTGGCCTTGTTACTTTTGTTGAGATCAACGACACCCGACATTTTACTGCTCGTCCATATCGATACGCATATTCTCGTGTAAGTATATACGAGCACTATGAAGGGTAATAGGAACTGCGTAACACTGTACCTATAATTAAATCCAGACATCACATCGCTTAAGTCTATCGATATTATTAAACGCTACGAAAAAATATATATATTTTAAAATATAATGTAAACCATATGGATGAGTGGATATTACCAAGTAATATAAGCTCTCTCGCCATATTTCAGGTAAAAGGTGGCCCAACACTCCCAAACGCCGGGCGATATTTCCGTGTACGAGAATATAACAATCTAAAATTATTGAACGAAAAGAAATCTATAATTTTCCGCAACAAGGATAACGACATTTACAACTGTCCGACAGCCGCCGGCCCGAGATACATTTATCAAAAACGTCAAGAAATTCGTGAAGCGCATAACGCATTTATAAACGACAAGTTCCATACAAGCATTCTCATAAATTAGCGTGTCGACGCTATTGAATTTGCGCCCGCTGTCTACATAGGATAAAAATTAATATCTCAAGTAAACCGATTTACTCTCGGGCGCGAGGCAAGGTGGATCGTGTGAACGGAATACATCTCACGGAGGTACGAATTAAATTTTCAACGAACCTGCGGTACGCACAGTGTAGCGGCAAGCGCCCACGCCCCGTACACCATCATTTTCGATCTTCGAGATGTGATGCGGCAGTAACTGAAGGGGTGGCAGATGGCATAATACCTGTCCATCGCGATCACCGTCAGGATATAGGAACTGAGATACAGGCCGAACGGCTGTCCGAATTTGATCAGTTTACAGAGCACCGCTCCACCCTGAAATCTGAGGGTCGTACCATCAAATTTGTTTAATCGCGCCGCTCTAGATGAGAGCAGATTTCTGCGATAGAACTTTACACAAATTTGTACGTCAGAGATACGTCGAAGTTGTGTATAAAAAAGGTCAAATGGATAAAAATGCGAATATAAAGCGTAGATAGAGAAGTTTAGGTTTGATCTTTGATTGAGATGATATTTTTTACAATATTTAGAACTAATATTAACAGGCCAATATCGGGTTGGAAATACCTATTCGATAACTAAAAACTGTCTCATATATTTATAGTATATTACATCGATTTACCTCTGTTATTTGCTTCTCAATATTATTGGAATCGTGCCAAGTTTATATTTGTGTGAAAACAATAAAGTATTTACGGTAAGATTTTGATTAAAATGGCAGATGATATTGGGCAGTGAAAGCTAAACGTTAGAGAGACTCCTGTCTGGATTAATCCTATCATACATCATATCTCGATGGATAAATATAATTTTCTAACATCAATCAAAGTGTCAATATACACGATTATGCTGGGAAAAATACAAGGTGCTTTTTTTAAGGTCCGTTCTGATTTTAGAACTTTAAGATGGTTATTCGCCGATGGGTAATCGCGACGCCGTCAATCATTGATTAAGCTTGACTCAAAAAAGATTTCTGATTTATTTCAGTCATTATATGTATTATACATGTATACATCACGTATTCTTTCATCAAGAGCTATAAATATCAACTTTAAAATTTATTTTGCCACTTTTGTTTTTTTCACACTGGCTCTAAAATATGTGGTTCTCCACAACGAAAAATATCATTACAGTTAAAAGAAACTCTTCACCGTTCAAGTATATAAATCAATTAATATTCCTTTCTCTCTCTCAAAAAGTCGAAAAGTATTTAATTAATTTTCTTGTTTCTAAAGATTTCTAATATGTATTATATTTATAATATTTTTACCATGTAATGTACATACAATAGATATGTGAAAGTTATATAATTTCGATAAATTTTATTACATTCTGCGATTAGTTTTCTGCCCAATTTCTCGTAGCAACTTTTTAAATGTCCAGATTTAGGTGATATAGATAATTCAAACACTTGGATTCGAGTAATCAAATAACCATTGTTTTGCATAGCTAGATATTATTTTAATATTTACAGTTTCCGTACCATCTTTTTAAATGCGTTTTTTCTAAATATAAAGTAACTGATGAATAAAAGAAGTGGTACCAGTGTACTATCATAGTTGACATCGTATGTTGTTGCAGATAATCAAACGCGCTCGGTGTACTTCCTGCATATCGCCTTCGACACGAATTTACGCATTGGTAAACGAAAGCTCATTAAAGAATCACAAGGTTAGCCGGAATGACAATGCAGCTTACCTGAACGTTATGTCCCAGGCGAGCTGCGGCAGAACGTCGAGCAGACCCGTCAACAGGTCGGCCACGCTCAGGTGCAAGATGAAGAAGTACATCCTGGTGAACTTTCGTCGCTGATAACGCCGCCGGATGTAAAGGGCCAGCAGGACCAGGGCATTGCCGAGGAGGGTGATGAGGAATATGCTGGTCAGAACCGCGATTTCCCACCTGGCGAGGTACTCGTCCCTCGCGTCGTCCGCCGACTCCGAAGACGACGTCAACGACGAGAAATTAAAATCCTGCGACATATCTCCGAAGCACTCCTCTCGTGCGCGATTCTCCCGACCCACCGCCTCGTCATTCAGCCGATACTCGCCCGACGAGGGAGAGAAAAAATAAAAAAAGAAGAGAGGAAGAAAAAGAAAAGAGAAACTCCGGAGATCGTCCGTGCGAATCCACGCCTGCTACGAGCGCGCGACGTGAAACTCGTGCGATTGAATATTTATACGGTATTTCCGGTATTAACGGTAGCGTGACAACGCTCGTTCTCCGACGCGACGACGCGGAATGCCTCTTCTGGGAGGTGTCATCGCGAAACGCACCGATCGGAATCACGTGGAGGAAAAAAACGCGGTTGGAGCGAAATTCGCGGGGAGGCACCGACGTAATTCGTAATTGACGCGGTTTCTACGCAAAAACTGCGCAAATAAGTCTCGTTGATACCCGCGAACTACGCGAGTTTCGCGCAACGTCGACACTGCGTTCTCGGCCCGACCGCGTCGCGCTTTGCCTCGTATCGGCCAAGGCGCGGTGGAAGGATCGAGTCCGACTGGAAGGATCCGAGGAAAAACAGCGTTACGTGATGAGGGTATATAAAATCGTACGTAGATTACACGTGCGTGTACATGATTGAGCTTCTTTTCTTTTCGACTCGCTGAATTGATCGCCCGGCAACCAATGGAAAGTTCCTCGTTGGATATTCAACGCAATTCCGATGGTCTAAAAAAAGCGTCTCAACCGTTGACCGTATTATTATACTGCGAGACAACCCAAATTGACGTTCCATTTCGAAATAAGCACGATAATTTCAGGCAATGCGAGAGATTATCATCAAACTGTTATTTGAATAAATGAGAATCTTCGATGTTGTATATTGGTACTTTACCTAAAATCACTGTGTCAACATGATGTTATGCTAAACGATCTTAATAATTATGAAGATGATTGTAATATAATTGTCCATTACTTCTATTTCTATATCGCACTTAAACGTATCGGTTATGTCAACATGACTGATCTTTAAATGGAATTCTTTGCCAGAGGGTGAAATGGATTACAGGAATGTGATTATAATATGACATAGACGATCAGCTTTATTTTCCATTAATTATGATAATTTCTGTAGACTAATCACAGGGAATAGCATTACAAAGAAGACCATGAATCCCGTGCTAATTATACAAATAGAAGATATTCTGGAGAATTTAGCAACTTCTTATTAATTTTTGCATGTAAGATTGATAAATAACAAAATTTTTCGATGAAATATTTCATCGACAATCTTCGCATCTATATGACATTTTATTGTTTTTTAAATGAAATTTAAACCACAAAACATGTGCGCGTAACTCTACTTTATACAATTCAGTAGAACAAAAATATTTTCATGTTCATAATCGTTCATAATTATGTTCAACTCGAAAGTAAATTTTCTTTAAAAAATAATCGTATCTCTTGCAGAAGTACGTAAACATTTGATGATTTATACGCTTCGAATGTATCTATTTCTTGCATGACGCGTGGAAGTCGAGTTATAATTATATATTTCAATTGAAGCAAACGTTCTTATGATAATTATACGATAATATGATGTTGTCCTGTCTGTCCAGTTCATAGAAATTTGCCGCTAACGATTCTCCTATCGATTAATTATAATTATCGTACGGAAGCCACGAGGCATCGATACTCCGTCAAGTGCGTGGTGCAATCTCACCGTATCGTCGAAGACGCTCTGCCATTGTTTACGACGGTATCGAACTACATTAAAGTGCACGATGCACTTTTTTACGACGAGTTATTTATCGCATTCTTTCGCCAAGGTTTCGCTGAAACGTCCCGCAAAAAGCGTCATTCTTCGGCGCGTGAAGCGACAAGCACAATCTTGGTAATTCGTTTTGACTCGCGGCAAAAATAAGCGGATCTCTATATCGACTGATTACGAATTGAGATTATTTATAAATTCATGCATTTCATTCCAAGCTAGAAGGCACGAATATTATGAGTCAATCGACGCTATAAATATTGACGAGAAATGAAAAAGAGCAACGCAACTCAACTTGTTAAGTAAAATCTATTGATTGTAGTTAAAGAAACACCAAAAAAACTGTATCGTTATGTCACAAGTTAAGAGAAACATAATACGCAATGCTATTCTTAAAAAAAAAAAGGTAATTTTAGGTATTATCGAGTATCATGTTCGCATACTTAAATATGCATGTATGTGCTTGTCTTTTTTGTCAAAGTAATTTACACTTTTTGCGCGAGAAGAAAAAATCGGTATTAATGTTACGCTTTGCTTTCAGCCGTAGAAACACAACATCTTTTTGTTAGCGCTTTTTAATCCGTCCGGTGAGAGACAACCGCGCGAGCATGACTCGATGATTGACTCGCGGCCGGATAGCTGTGTAGCTGTATAATTAATTAGTGAAACGCAATCTCGATGTAAATGCGTTCATGTGCGTCGGTTAATGATCGAGCGACAATGTCGAGCGAGCTGGGCGTGATCGCGACAGCTTCGGACGTTTGTTTGATCAAGGTGTGTACTCGGCTCGCGAGTTTATTATGCGCCGTATGGCATTGAATGGTTAAACAGCCCACTTAAATAGGCGTATATGACCCCGGCGGGTCGCGAAAGACGAGTGAGCTGAAAGATCTTGACACGTTAATTACAAACAATAACGCGTTTGAAGCTCAGATATTAACTCGTTTTTTCTCTTTAATTTGATCATTATTACAAGATTTTCGCGGAAGCGTATTTCGCGATAAATATAAGTAGATATCAAGTAAGTCAGTATTTTTACATCGGCAGTTTAGTATTTCTCCTCAATTTCTTGTATTTAACTCCATATCTTCGCCTTAATCGCTTTTAATTAAAGAAAAAGAGAAGAAATAATGTAATCAATTTTTTTTAAAAGAAATTTTCCGTGTTTCGCTATATTTTTCCATATTTTATATGTGATCTCTCTCGGAGAGATGCGGCGCTACGATTCAACATCGTTGCTTACGATGCGTCACAGCGCATCTCTTTCGACCAATCAATAATGATGTCAGAGCAGGCTGCGTTCAGTAACATCACCCAAAGTGCTAAAAATCTTTAGTGCACATAACATATGCTGTGCAGGATTTTCATTCGGGTGATGTTTCGGAACGCGCCCCTGGGGCCCGGCAATCATCCCAGCACCACTTGCTCCTCGGATCGCAACGCAGAGTAGTGCACGAATCGACGACGGTTTAGATTACGAAGAATTGTGATACATCGAATTATTTAATTTGCTTCATGGAATTAATACGGATCGGCATCCGTATTATATATATACATCGTATATCCGTATAATATACCTCGGCAGGTATATCGCATTCGATAATACTCTCCATTACATTCTTTCGGTCACTTTCGGATGATTGGTCTCGTAGCGAGACGCTTTTCGAATCTCAACCGCCAACTTGACTCGCGTCGTGTCGCGCGCTTCGGAATGACGTCACACGGTACACGGACTTTCGGGGAGCACGGATAAAGGAGCGGACCGTAAGTCGCGTGACGCCACGACGTATTAATTAACGATCGCAGTCTCTATTAACGCCGTACGTTTAACTAATTCGTATTTCATCGTGTCTCGATATTTGGCAATCGTGGGTAACAGACCCAGTGTTCATATTGTTCATAAATCGACGATTTGATTGCAGTTAACCAAAATCGCCCGACAAGCAGCAAGCGTAGCGACGCTGCGCCGCGACGTTGGCGTTGCTTCTGGCGAGTGAAGTTGGCCGCGCGATTTACGAAATTCTCTCCGCCATCTTAGCGTCTACCTGCGGGACATCGCGAGTCGACGGGCGTCGAGCGGATCGTATAGAAAGGTTCTCGTAGCTTCTCCGACGTAATTCTTCCGTCGCCGTGTGATTAAGTACGCTCCGCGTCGCGAGATTAATACCGAGAGTGCCGTGCATAGTGTCGAAAGTGTCGCGCGATCGTAAATGACGATATTTTCGTGTGTGAACGAGTCAAGGGAACGAGTGAGCGAGTGCGTCGACGGAGACGTGACATCGGAGAAGGACCGGTGGAGAGGAGGAGGGGGCCTGGGAGGCATCGGGCGACGGCGGAGCGACCGTGGGGTGAGTATAATTATGGTATTCGTTTTATTTTGCTGTCCCGTCAGTCCTGTGGCGGATTCCGCCACTTTCGCGGTTTAACTCCGGCGCAATTTTGATCGGAGTTCGATTTCCGCATATGCGACGAAAGATATATGTCGCGAACGTCGCTTCTGTCTTAAGGCCATTCTACAATACGTCGCGAATGCTCTGCGCGGTGCGTTTGCGACGTATTGTAGAACGGCCCTTATTCGCACGGTCGTAATTTTCACGAGCGATAATTATTTACTATTGACTCTTGAACGCTGCTTTAATGTAAATATATTTTTATGTTACAGATCAACGCAGAGTTTACAACTTACAACTCCGCTGTTGCGCATCGGCCGGTGAGTGATTTTTTTTTAATTTTATTTCAACGAGGCAATAGATTTGTAAAAATTATATTACGTAAAGAAAGTGTATGTATGAGAAATGAGATATAAAAGAGTTAGGCTCCTATCTATTTCGAGGCAATAGATTATAATATAATTATTTTATTTGTGATATATTTATATATTTCTCAGTCTTTAATGTTTTAATTGTTTTCTGTAATAACTGCAGGAATAAATAATATATTCAGATATTTCATGAGATTAAGTAATACAGAACACTTTACAGCTACATTAATTATCATTTTAAATACAAATTCTGATATAGCGTTTAATAATTGTTAGAAAAAGACTGTTCATAAATTTTAATAATAATATCTCATTTCTCATACATACACTTTCTTTACGTAAAAAATATAATTTTGACAAATCCATTGCCTAGAAAATATTATTATAATTGATGTGAATAAAACTGAGCACACACACGTGCCTGGGTCAGCCTACTCCCTCTCCATCTCGCCACTCATGTTGCCGAGAATCCGAGGCCTCATTCTCATCACTGCTTTCGACCGGTGTCGCGCAAAATTGACTCCGGGAGGTAATCGATGCCCGTTTGACTCTCATATAACTTACTCCACTATATCGTCGACGCATTACCCTGCCTCTCGATCGACTGTATAAGAGGGAAGGCTCGCGCGATATCTTTACGTTTCCCTCGTGCCTACGGCCGGGCGAATCGGTGCCCCGTCTTTTCGCCGGCGCAGCAAGTAAAGACGTTTATTATTGTCGACGCCGCTCGTCGCCTCGGCGTCGTTCACGGTTATTACGGGTTATGAGCGTCGGTGGGAGGCGCGCACACGCCGCCGGTCGATATAAAGGGAGAAAGTGATGAGCTCGAGCGCCGCGCGCTGGAAAAGCTTCATAAAGTAAATTACTATGTGCCGCACGTACATCTTATGAGGATTAAGGAGGGACGTATCAAGAAAGATCTCCGCCAAGAAAGGTCGACGTGGATTTTACCTTTCTCTTTCCCCTTTCATTTCATTCCCGACGTAGCCGCCCGAGAGATGCTTGAAAATCACGATGCTTCCTCCGGCCGGTGTATCTCCCTTCCCCCCCTCCCCCCGGCTCGGCTGTACGCTCTCACCGATAAAGAGGGTGGACCCGAAGGTAAGGGGGCCAAAACTAAGCGGAGTAACTCGTATAGATTACAACGTTAAGCGTCTGATAAATTCGACGTCGGGCTTCATTGGAATTTTTCTCGCGTAAGGACGCCGGAATTTTGCGAGACGCTCACGGCTTTATTCTCTCGCCGAGGATTTGCGACGGCTGTATGCGAGACATCTCCTTTACCGTGGGTAAATTCGAGCAATTTATAGTCTGTCTCGTTGCTATTAAGATGCAAACAAAAGATTTGAGAATAAACCGTGTTGGTCGAACTCGAAGCAGAAACGTTTCGAGTTTCAAGTTCGAACGGAGCTGACAGTCCGTCTGTTCGATTGAATAGAAAACTGAGCGATTTAATTGTTGGGATATTAAAAAAAAGTTTAAGTAAAGATAATATATAAAAATATGAAAAAATAAATGGCTTTTGCCTGTTTCTTTTTGTCTTATTTAAACAAACAGTTTGAATTGTTTGACTGTATTTTTTAGATTTGAACAATTTAAAGTGACCGGGAGGATATTTATTCGTATTTTTATACAGTCACGATCGTTGATTGATCAATAAAAAAAAACGCTATTTATATATATATATATTCGATATTTCTTGTAATAATACAGAATTGCT